AAAAAGGTCCATTGCAGTCAAGGTATCAGATGAATACCTCGTTGAATTTCAAAATATTCATTTATCTTCATCGTTCTAGTTTAAAAGTGATAAAACGGTGGTAAGGATAATTTTGATGTCGGATTAAAAGCAGAAATTCAAGATAATAAAACACCAAAAAGAACTCAAAGAATATTCAGTTATCTTAATATTTATCCTACACTTAAAGTGGCAAAACGGGATTAATAGTAGTTTTGATGTCGACAAACATGATATATAAAGTGTGAAAATTAGCCTATTGCTGTTTCAGGTCGCGTTTTCAGATTAAAAGGCAGAAATTCCGAGATGTTACACTTAGTAGAATCTAAAAAATATTCATTTATCTTAATATTTATTCTAGTCTAAAAGTGGCAAAACGAGGTTAAAAGTATTTTTGAAATCGACAAAGGTGACTTATAGCTGCTTCACATTACCCTAATAGCGGTGTTCAAGGTCGAGTTTTCGGATTAAAAGCAGAAATTCCAAGATACTACCCGTAGTAGACTCTAAATAATATTCATTTATCTTAATATTTATCCCAGTCTAAAAGTGGCAAAACGGTGTTAATAGTAGTTTCATGTCGACAAATGTGATATATAACTTTGGAAAATAGCTTAATGGGGGTATTTAAGGTCGAGTTTTCGGATTAAAAGCAGAAATTCCGAGTTGTTACACCTAGTAGAATCTAAAGAATATTCATTTATCTTAATATTTATCCTAGTCTAAAAGTGGCAAAACGAGGTTAATAGTATTTTTGAAGTCGACAAAGATGACTTATTGCGGCTTAACATTAGCCTAATAGGGGTGTTTCAGTTCGAATTTCCGGATTAAAAGCAGAAATTCCAAGATGCTACACCTAGTGGAAACTAAAGAATGTTCATTTATCTTAATATTTATTCTAGTCTAAAAGTGGCAAAACGGGGTTAGTAGTAATTTTGATGTCGACAAACATGACTTATAGCTGATTAACATTAGCCCAATAGGGGTGTTTCAGTTCGAATTTTCGGATTAAAAGCAGAAATTCCTAGCTACTACACTTAGTAGAATCTAAAGAATATTCATTTATCTTAATATTTATTCTAGTCTAAAAGTGGCAAAACGAGGTTAATAGTATTTTTGAAGTCGACAAAGGTGACTTATAGTTGCTTAACATTACCCTAATAGCGGTGTTCCAGGTTGAGTTTTTGGATTAAAAGCAGAAATTCCGAGATACTACACTTAGTGGAAACTAAAGAACATTCATTTATCTTAATATTTATCCTAGTTCAAAAGTGGCAAAACAGTAATATGGGTGGTTCTGAAGTTGTTTTATTTTGTCGTATTGTAATAATATTTCTCCATAGGAATTATAATTTTGGTCTGTAGGCATGATGCTTAGGCTTGTGTAATCGTGAAAAAGAATAAGTCAGGAGTCTGTGATGATCTACCTACCTTGTGATTGCCTGATAAATGAATAATAAACGTTTCCCATAGCTTCTCTGATCTTGTTCAAATAAAATTACTTCTATATTCAGTTATTTATTGAAAATTTACGTTCGCAGACACCATGTGTTGTTATGACATGATTTACGTCCCTTGAGGGAATCCCGATAATTTTCTTTGTGTCGCTGTCGTTGATTGGCTAAATCGCGAGGATGAGTCAAAAAGTTCAATTTTCTTATTGTCTGCTGGCTATCGTCTGCGGACTTGATCTTAGTTTTTTGTCTGCAAACCTTATCGTCTGCCCAGTTGATCTCAGCCTTGGGGGAATCCTGGTAACTTACCTAGTGTCGCTGCCGTTGATTGGCTGAATCGCGAGGATGAGTCAAAAAGTTCAATTTTCTTATTGTCTGCTGGCTATCGTCTGCGGCCTTGATCTTTGCTCTTGTCTGCTAAACCTTATCGTCTGCCAAGTTGATCTCGACCCATAGGCTAGACCTATCAATATTGCAAACCGAAAGTAAGAAATACCAAGAAACTTGTCATATAGTTTTCAAAAATCAACAAGAGATAAGCCTAAGTAAACTCCATAGAATGTAAGTATGGACAATCGACAACACAGATATGCATATCAGAAGTGTGGGGATTTTATTCATGACCTTTTCTGAATTTCTGATAAAGTATCGGTACAAATAAAATTTACCTTGCTTGTGAATCATCACAGTGTCTATTTGCCACGCGAAGGATCGGCTTTCCGATGTACGATTTCACTAAATATTTACTGCCGAAGAAAAAGGGATTACATAAGACGTGGCAAGTGAAAATGTGTCATACATAGGCTACTTCACAGTTTACAGCAACAATTGTGTGATTTACCTACAGTAACTCTCTAACCGAAAAAAAATGTCTCTCTTAAAATGTCTTCTCATGTTACACTTACGGTATGGAAACTATAATGTGGCATGGTGAATACCAAAAACCTGGAGCTAGTAAAAAAGACTAGTCTAGGGCAAGTTAGAGATGACTGTTTCTTGTATTTTGTTGGAGAGCAGCTGCCATTTTGTTAGGTTAGTTTTAGGGTTTTGAATAGTTCTTTAGGCCTAGGCCTACAGTTCAAAATAAAAAGGCTTATTATGCTTTGTTGAATGTATAAAATTTTATATTTGATATAATTTCAGTCTATATACAATGTTAGACAACTATATTATCAATTAGATAATGGTATGAAAATAGTCCATGGATTCTGATGATGATGATAGATTTGCAAGTTTGCCAAATATAGTAGATAATGATGATGACTTACCAGACATAGTACGCTTTCATGATGATGATGATGATGAATTTGATATACAACAGCCTAAAGCCTTGCGTGAATCAGAATTAGAAACTGTACAACCTGATGATGATGAGACTTTTCTACAAGCTGCCATTATACAACAGAGTAATGAAGGTTGAATATCATCTTAATTTTAAAAGACACTGTCTCTTACTCATCAAAACTATTCTTTTCTCCTTACTTTCTGTGAATTTTTTCTGAGTGTTTTGGGGCAAATCTTTTGATAAAACTATGTAAGGTTTCACGTAATATTTTTGAATGGGTTCCTTTTTGAATGGAACAATACAAACAGAAACAAATGCCTAAAATATATATTAAGTATATGTATATCTGAGTAAATTTATGTCTTATAATATCTTATGATATTGTAGAGGAAACCCATGTTTATCAAAACAAGCTAATGTGGAGGTCCCGCAAGGTCGCTCATGTAAATTATTAATCATTTCCGGAAATCCACGAAAGATAGGTTTCCACGAAATTAGGTTACTTGACTGTATATGTCGATTAGTGTATGTCTTTAATGGGCCTCCGTACAAAAAGTAAGGGAGACAGCAATTTGGTGATTTGATATTTCGAATGAGGACTAGTTTGAGATAGTTTGGTATAAATTGTAATAAGTTCCTATGACGGCTAAGACTTGCAAATTGCCTGTAAACTCTGAGTATTATTCTACATAGGCCATATATATGTCGATTAATGTATGTTTTTAATGAGCCTCCGTACAAAAAGTAAGGGAGACAGCAACTTTGTAATTTGATATTTCGAATGAGGACTAGTTTGAGATAGTATGGTATAAATTGTAATAAGTTCCTATGACGGCTAAGACTTGCAAATTGCCCGTAAACTCTGAGTATTATTCTACATAGGCCATATATATGTCGATTAATGTATGTCTTTAATGAGCCTCCGTACAAAAAGTAAAATATATATTAAGTATATGTATATCTGTGAAATTTATGTCTTATAATATTTGTCTTCTATTTCTACAGCTAAATATCAAGAAGAATTAAATAAGGTTCTTACTTTAAGTTTACTGGAATCGGAAGGTAGATTGGGACAGAATATAGGTGGTAACTTCCCAGATTTTGTTGTTAGTGCTCAGGAAGGGGTAAATATTTCTTTTCTAAATCAGTTTATTCCTTTAACAGAACTGTTGTAAAACCCAGGGCCGTAGTCTGCGTTTGAACTAACCAGACTTTAGGTTAAGTCAAACTTTGTGAAACTTCACATTAGTTCGACCTGTCCACTTATTCACTTTGATAGAACAGCAATAATTTCGCATGTTTCTCATAACTCACATGCTTTTCAGTGGGATCTTTACTACAAATATCCATCATGGTTATTACATATAACAATTTGATTGAATATTCAAAATGTCAGATGATATGTTGTCTCCTTTGAAAGCAATTGCAACAAAACATCCATATTATTTTCTGCCTAAAAGTTATTCATTGTTACAGCTTTTCTCTCTGTGTTTCATTTTTCGACTGTCATGAGTGCTTTCTTCTTGTTAGTTGTCGTCTGCTAGCATTTCTATTTCCCAATTCATATCATCCAATTTCAAACGCCGTACTGATTTTGCTACAATAACGGCCATTGTTGTATGACTTTAAAAATTTGAAGTGTTTCGCAAATTCCCTCTTGACTAGTTCTTCCATGAGATTTGAGCTGTCTTTAAATCTCTTCTCCACATGGTAAATATCTATAATTCAGTGTTATTAGTTGAAATAGTCCTCCTTTGTTAAATGTGAAGTATGACTTACATCAAAGATTAAGCACAGCATACTTATAGTCTTAACTTAACCTCGACTTTAATTAAAGTATGGCTAAAGTTCAAGTGCACTATACGGCCTCAATATCTCTCTTTTTAGGATCATCTCAAATTGTTTTTAGAGATTAGTTTGCTACATCAACTGAGCAGCTCTTTCTTTTTAGAGAGTCTGTTTATTTTATTACAAATAATTTGCTGATTATTAAAATTGTTAAAAACTATACGATTCTTGTGCATTTTTTTAATTTTCGAAAGTCTGCAGGGATTCCTTTTGTAATTTGATAGTCATGAACGCTAGTATGTAAAACATTATGGTTATTTTTTCAGATTGAGGAAAATAGGAGCTTTTTGTTTCACAGAGGAGCTTCTTCAAATATTTCAATGTTAAATAGTGGACCACCTGCGATGGAAAAACATAGTACTACTAACTCTTCAGTTAGCGATCGAAGACCAAGTTTGGAAAGACTTCAAACAAACATAGGACATACAAGTACTGGAGGACCAGGTATGCCTGTTAGGAGACCCAGTTTAGAAAGATTGCACGGTGCTAACAATGATTTGTTTGGCTTTGATGAGGAAGAACAAGCTAGAGAACTACAAGAGCTAATACGGATGGGAATTATTCCTTCAAATCAAATGCCATCTAAGTTTCAAAAGAACAGAAATCGTAACAATGTAAATTCTGTTGCAAATGTGCAGCCAGTGGCAAGAGATCATAATTTTGCATCTCCAAGAATGAACTCTTCAAGGGTTGATAACTCTGATGAAAATGACAATGAACAAGTGCTAGGAGCTGAAGGACCTGAGACGACATCTGGAATTAGTGATTTAACTCCAGTTGCCTTTACATTAGACAGTTCTTTAGAAAATTGGACAACAAACAAGACCTCTCCACATGGAATAATTCACATGTATGAACTGGTCAAAATACCTACAGAAAGCGATGAGTATGTTGCTATTGAAAATGATTTTAGAAGTTCTGGACTAAAAGTAATTAGTGTGGAGAGACTACAGAATAAATATCTATTAGAAAAGTTTAAAAGCGAACAGGATCAGATTGAACGAAGTCGTTTGCCAGGTTATAGTTTAAACTGTCGTTATTTATATCATGGTACCCCAGCAGATAAAGACAGGCTATGTGAAGAAGGTTTAGATGCAAGATTAAGTAGAATGGGTTGTTTTGGTAAAGGAATTTATTTCAGGTATAAATTGTATGACTAACTAATTTAATCAGCTACCAGCATCAGCTACAAGACTATTTAGAACATCTTTCATGTTCGTTCAGTGTTATCTTATTTTTCTTATCTTCTTGGCTACCTGTACCATAAAGTTCTAAACATTTCACGTGAATTAATTGTTGCCCCGTTTTAAAATGAGAAATCTATTATGGACACGTTTTCATTTGGTCTAAGTCCAAGAGCTGTTTGATACAATAACTAGAAATGTGTACATATATTTTTTTAAAAAAAAGTATTTTACCATTTACTGATTCATATATTATTCTATACTAGAAATGGAATGTGATAAAATTGCATAAAAGATTTCTTTTGTAGTATTATAACTCAAATTATGCATTTCAGTGATACACCTAGAAAATGTGTACAATATACAGAAAGTGATCAAGGTATTAATTGTATATTGATGTGTCGTGTTATTCTAGGTGATACTAAGGTTTGTTCATAAAATTTATATACTATTAAAACATGGTTTAAAACAGTGTATATCATTATTTGAACAAACATAAAAATGACTTGGATTTAATGTATGTATTTTAAGAGCGAATCATTTAAAGAATAATAGATCTTCTATTTCTTAAGGGTTGTAAAGTTAAATGCACTTTCTTCAACAGATTTACCCACCAGGTGCTAATGATCCAAATTTACGTCGAGAACCTGAAAAAACTGAAATAACACATGGATGGAGATATTATGATTCAGTTTCAGTAAGTATTATAGATATATGTAAAGTATTTTTCTGTCATGCAATGCACATGTCCATGGCAAGTTACAAACACTGTCTTAGACTTATATAAACTGCGTAGAGAATATATCAAAACCCTATTTACTATTTGCAATGAAGCCCTATTTGACTGTAAAAGTTATTCTTTGTAGATAAGTCATATTCATAATAATAAATATGTCTTCAGTGAACTTCTATTTAACTGTTTTCTATATTGATCATAGATAAAATGTCTTGTCCTATTGACTATATTGAATGTTTTGTAGGGAAGTCCTATTGACTATATTGAATGTTTTGTAGGGAAGTCCTATTGACTATCATGAATGTTTTGTAGGGAAGTCTTAATGTTATGATGAATATTTTGTAGGGAAGTCTTAATGTTATGATAAATGTTTTGTAGGGAAGTCCTATTGACTATAATGAATGTTTTGTAGGGAAGTCTTAATGTTATGATGAATGTTTTGTAGGGAAGTCCTATTGACTATAATGAATGTTTTGTAGGGAAGTCTTAATGTTATGATAAATGTTTTGTAGGGAAGTCCTATTGACTATAATGAATGTTTTGTAGGGAAGTCTTAATGTTATGATGAATGTAGGGAAGTCCTATTTCTTTTATGTTTTGTAGGGAAGTCCTATTTCCTTTTTGTATTGTAGGGAAGTCTTATTTACAATGTGTTTTGTAGGGAAGTCCTATCGACTATAATGAATATGTTGTATATGAAAATAGAAGAGCTATGATAGAGTATATGATATCCTATAGACCAGACTACAATGCAGGTTCAACAGTAACCAGCAATACTAAAGGCCATGCATCCCACTCATGGCCAGTTACAAAAACAACAAAACATCCAAATGGTGAAAGAACTGTTCAATTTAACAGTAAGTTAGGAATAAACATTTTTGGATTTTAAATTAAAATTTGTTGCTAAAAAAAACAGGGCATGATTACCTTTCCAGAACTCCTGGTGCCACTGCAACTGAATTTGTCAACTCAACATCCCTTTCAGAGAGTCCACACAGCTAATACTGACTCTTTGGTACCTTGTTATTGTAAGTTTAGTATTACATAAGTCATTTAGGAATTGTCTATTGTTAATTAGTTACGATTGATTGTGTAAAATATGCTTTGTAAATATCATCTTCAATTTTTTATAGCCACACATTAATGTGGGCGTACATATAGTTGTCACCCCTGTCTGTCTGTCTGATAATATGTCTGATATATTTACATCTTGGGAATTTTAGACACTGTGTCCATGTTTGTATTTGATTGCTACATTCGCAAACTATTTGTTGAATATTGACAGTGACAGAAGATGAACATATGAAATTGATAGAATCAGTAAGAGATAATGTAAGACAACAGAGAGCTAAAGATAGAGGAGAAACATGGATACCACCATCACTTGTAAGTTCTGTCTTAATTATTAGTTTTTGTTTGGGGCATGACATGGGATTGTTCATATTTGGTTAAAGGGACAGGTTCGCCATTTCAGGGGGTTGATTTTAGTCTTGTATATATGTAGATAGTCTTCAGAAGTACTAGAAATGTATGAAAATCACACAATTCCTTTAAAAATACTTCAAACCAGGAATTTAACTATTTCTATATTATGTCTTTTCTATAAATCTTAAATTGATGCAGATAATTTCTGGACACACATGGATTTGAAGTCTCAAATTTTGAACGGGGCTGTCAATGCTATTACTTATTAATGAGCTAAAATATGCCAGTTTCTGGGACCAAAGTGTGACCTAATTGATTTTAGATTTGTGACTATCTCAGATTCTGTAAATACATTTGAGACTGACTAACAACTACAGTGAATTTCGGTTTGGAATATGGTTACTGTGACTAGTTCACTTGAAAATGCTGGTTTACTGGATTTAATCCATTAATCACGAAAAATCTCATCACTGAAAGTTACAATATTTTAAAGGTCTCAAGAAAAAGTGAAGCATGGGATCTTTCTTTGGTTCAACTGTCGGCAATGTATGTATGTATGTGTAATGTATAAAATGTTATTTTTTGATATTTATAGGAACAGAGATCAGCAGAAAGAAAGAAATGGCAGAATATTATGCAGATTTCTCATGCTGAAGGTACAAAAGTAGTAAGTGTAGTTTTCTATCAATTTTTCTACACATGTGTAAGTATATAGAGCTGGCCAGTAAGACCATAGTTCTAGAGTTTGTGTTGACTATTATGAGAGGTGAAGAACAGTTCAACAGATCAAATGACAAAGGCCATGGTTTGCCATTTTCAGGGTTTGATTTTGCATAATCTCCTCAGAAATTTGATTTGTCAATGGATGGCAAACCTGTTCCTTTAGAAAGAGACAACATGAAAGTAATTATCTTACATCTGTACATTTCAGATATACAAGACACCAGATAATAATGATATGTCAATCAATACAGCATCTAATATCACACCCCCTTCTGAAACTTATCAAGAAACAGATGCTATCAATGAAGTTATGAGTTATTTAATCACCAAGTTTTTAAGTGTAACTAATACTGATGATGTTGAAGAGGCTAGAAGGATTATTGAAGATAATAGCATGGATTTAGACCTATCCATTGAAAACTATTATGCTAAGTTCGCATAAACTTGGCAGATAATTTTGAAGATATATTTTCTTTTATTGTAACTGAGAGAATTCTTGTGAAGTTTTTACTTGATCTGTGATAAGTTTTTATAGTAGTAATTAGTATGAAGTAATCATTAATACCATGAAGATAGACTTCAGTTTTTATATTCTAATACTTAAATGAGACATCCATAGTTAACATTTTAACCTTTAACTTGCACCTTGTTTAATCATAAATCTTTACTTTGTGACCTAGTTCAGTGCTTTCATGAGATTATGTTCTCATCACCACCTAACACTTAAATTTTTATGTGTGAGTTTAGGTTCAATCATGGTTTTCATTTATTTTTATGAAGATGTACACTATTGAATTTGGTGATGATCCACTAATTTATTTGAGAGATATTGCATAAAACTCTGATACCGTGTTCGTTTTTTTTCTTCACTTTTTTGGCTCGTACTCACTCTACAGCCTACAATTCTCTATGGATTCTATTAATCTTTTGTATATGAAGATGTGCACTATTGAATTTGGTGATGATCCAATGATTTTACTGTGACATTTATTGAAAAGGATCAATACAATTAACCAGGTAGTTTCAATAGAGAGATATGAAAGTACAAGCTAAAAGTGATTTTTTAAACTTTAACTAAGAACTGTTGATTGACTCAAAGGTGTTTGTAATATTGTGCTTTAAATAGATGTGATCTAGCTGGTGTCAAGTAATTTGCTATAGTATATATTTGAAAACAATAGCTTGAGGTTGTCAAACCTGCTGTAAAAATATAGAAACAGACTGTATAGAATTATTTATTTTGTTAATATAAAGTGGATGTGTTTAATATAAATACTACAAACATTCATATCACTCACTTATTCATATATATAGAAAAATATCTTTAACAAATCAGTCTTTGACAATAATACTTGTCAACAAATCAATCATTGACGATATGAACGAATCAGTCCTTGACAATTTTACTTGTCAACAAATCATTTATTGACAATATGTTACTGGTCAATGACAATATGACTTAACATTATGACATAAACCATGCTACTTGTCAACAAATCATTGCCAATGTAACAGTGAGATTTTGTTTTCATATGTCCTGTAAGACAGCTCAATTTGCATTGCTGTCCATCATTTTATTATAGGTTCAAATAAAAAATTTTTTTTTTTTGAAGACAGGAAAACCAAAATTTCTGTTCTACCTTTTTGCTTGAAGATGATAGAGCTAATAAAAAATCGAGTTGAAATGATCAATGAATTGTGACCATTTGATTATCATTTTTTGAATTAACCAAATTACATGTTACATGACAATTATGTGAAAACTGTTAAAATTTATCTGTGAAGTTAACAACTCAAGTTTATAAAACATTTTATGTAAAGAAGAATTTGAAATAAAACCTTCCCTAATAACTAGAAAACTGTTTCATTTATTAATAAAATAGACACAAAAAAGATCCAAGGCTGATTTGTAGAGAAAATTTGACATGACACTCCTATTATATGATTGTTTAGTATACACTATAATTCACACTATATTATTTATTTCATAGTGAGCAGCATAATGTGGGACAAACATTCAAATTTAACAAATAACAATAATATTACAAACCAACCACTAACATTACATTAAAAAAAAAGCCAATATTTCCAGCTGAAGCATTTGTGATTATGCATTTTTAATAGAAGTTGTTGACTCTTTAATATCTGAAGACAAACAATGTACTGATTTTTTGATTTGATTCAATGTTTTGACAATATTTTCAAACTCAAATTAAGTTGTAATACAGCTGGTAATGCAATTATTTTGACGACTGTATTCCTTTTCATCAAAGGCTGGTGTTGTCTTGTGGTTTGATTGCATAAAGACAGAATGTTAATAAATCTCTCTATAAATATATACTATATACAATCTCTATTTCTAACTAATAAATTCATATCTCTAATAAATTCCTTTATAATATTTTCTATCATATTTGTTTATGTATCTAAATAAATTTTGCACATTTCTTTCAAAATTCATTGTGTCCATAAACAATTTACTAACATTATTTCAGAATCGGTGACAAGAAATCTTTTATAAAAAATCAAACAAAAAAACCTGGTAAAAGTCTATCTCAAGCATGGAAAGCACTATTTAAGCACATGAAATTGCTTTTTAAACTGTGCCATTTGGCTTAACTTCTAAGAAAAAGCAATTAGTAAGTAATTACCAGATCTTTACACCTACAAAACAGTACTTTTCTCACACAATATCAAGACTTTGGCTGTTCTAGATTAATTACTAATGCATAGTTGAACTAAGGTATTAGAACATCTGAAGATAAATCAGTTTTCTAATCATAAACAAAGCCTATTATCTATAAGGTATAAGAAGTGATAATGGACAGAATACATATCTAACTTTATGGTTTACATTATCACATTTTCTTCCTTAAAACCCAGTAAACAATTCCAGTTTAGTTTTTGTTTAGAAATGTACAATATGTTAATGAAAAAAACAATTAGTTGACTGACAATATAGTTGAATGCACCTGTATGTCTTCGTCACCATGCCACTGTATTTTAACAAAATATAATAAATATATATTAAAAGGACTATTGTTGGTAATATTAATTCAAAATATTCTGACTTATATCCTCTGGTAAGCCACCATTTTTAGTTTTTTTACATGAATATACAAAATAAAGTGAAGAAAATGTATCAAGCTGAACTAGTTGAATCATATTGTAGTGATTTTTGGTTTTGACAAAAATATGGAATTCTTTAAAACATGTAAATGTAACTGAAATTATGCTACAAATGAACAAATCTAACAAAATATTGAATAATATAAAGCAATATAAATTCTCTAGGTTTAGATATGCTACTGTCTAACACAGCTAGTTTCTTACTACTGCAAACATTATTGCAAGAAATAAAATAGGCACAATATTATACTAAATACTAAATATTTAAAGAAATTGTGTTTAAGTATTTAATTTAGCACTCTGAGGAAAAATTAGTATAAAGAAAAGAAAACTTATCGCATTTAAGGATAAATCTTTTTTCAATCCTTGATTTCTTATATATGAAAAACATTGAGGTGAACATGATACTATCATTATTTACACTCCTGATTGAAAATTTCATTTAAAATAACATATTGAAATAGTTAAAGATAACAATTGGAAGTAAAAGAAGACTATAATTTATAAACTGATATAGTTATTTTGTTATCTATAAAAATATGAATACTATGGCCAGATAAAGGACGGTATTAAAAGTATAACTACCACCATGATTACTATGAAAAGACATACTTTATACCTCAAAGCACTATGGAATATTCTTGCTTTCATCCAAAACTAAGATAAAAATATAAGAAAATATGTAACATACGAGGTATAGGTAGATAAATAAGTTTCGCCATTCTGTTATTCTTTTTCAACAAAAATCTCTCCTAGAAAGATGGATACGTTCAACATGTTATAGACATTTATAATGTTGGCTATCAGTGTAATGGTTAGATATTTATGTACATGCAGGGGCCATTTCAAAACAATTCACTTTGCTATGTTTGAATGCGAAAAAAAATATACAATACAGGTCTGACCGCTTATTGCTTTTGTTTAAGTTTAACTATACCCCTGAATGTACAGAATTATCTTTATCTGACCATCCATGTGTTCCAGTTGTATTCCCATCTTATCAACATTCATTCAGTAAAAATGTGGCAAGGCCAATCAGAAAAATATTGGTAATAATATGATGGTCAAGGTTAGAAATTAAGTTTGAGGTTTTTATCAATAAAATTCCGAATCAGAACTTTGATGAGATCCAGAATAGTCTTTGACACTGCCGGCTGGACTACCGGTACTAACTTGGTCACTATTATCTAAGGTTTTCGTTGCTCCTGTAATAACAATACTCTTATGGTAATATCTAAACACTGGTACAGATACTTATATTAGTGCCTTTGTACACTGAGACAAATTATATCTAATGTCGTATACCCAGCTTTGATTTGTATACCTATCTTAAGAACTTATCAACAAATTTGTCTGATCAAAAAATTTATATAATTGCTGGTAGAAATATTTCCAGTTGACAATTGATTGAGCCTTATGGAAATCAAAGAAAACAAATATTAAAGGGATTAAAGTTATGAACACTGACAAGAAAGAATATTATGTATTGTGTGGCGCAGGTTTACTCTTCTAGACACCTGATACCACTTTTCATTATAAAATATTTACCCACTTAATTGATAAACTTCCTCATGTGAAGAGTTCATTAGCTGCTACCAATGTTTGCTGATTTTGGGTTTCATTTTGTGGTTTGGATTGTTAGTATTTGTTTCAATTCAATTTTATTCCTATTTAATGATTTCTTGACAAGACACCTTCATACAAAGAGATAAAACACTACTACTTACCAAAATCTAATGGTTTATTGTTAAAACGGACTAATTTTGATATAGTTGAATCACCTGATAAAGACATGTTAGATAGTATTATAGCCAGGCAGTTGGCTACACGGTGATCTGGAGCACAAGATAATGCCGGTGGGTGACCTAAAATAAAGAAACAAGAAATAAAAAGAAAAGAAACAACATATTTTTACAAGTGTCCTTTCTACCAGCTGGTCCTACGCCAAACCTCTGACCAATTATCTAAACCAGATTATCAAAACCCCTTTACAAATTGGAAAAGATGACTATAATAAGCTTTGATTTTTGAACAATTTATTTTGCTGCTGTACATTTGTCAACTTGTACATTACAAGTTTCTTTTTAAAACCTTATGTATTAGGTAAAAACAGTTTAAACAGTCAAACCAAACCTATGGTTTTTTGAAACTAAAAGAATTATTGTGAATAATGGGATAGAAATCAATTTACCATTTTCATCTAGTGCCAATAAGCTAGCACCTTTTGTTATTAAATCTTGAACAACAGGAACCATGCCATTTTTAGCTGCTATGTGGAGAGGTCTGGAACAAAATATCGATCATAATCAAATCATATTTAGAGCATTTATGTACACAATACTTCAGTTCGCTAAAAATACAAAAATCAACCTTAATTCAACTAGAATGCATTGGCTATCTTCAAGCAACAGAATAATTTATACTAATTTGATAACATATACAAATAACAACTTACGTTTTTAGGTTAGAATTTGGTATATTAAGAACTTCACTATCTGATATTTTTTCTAATAAAACAAGGGCTATATCTTCATGGTTCTGAAAACGGTATTTTAAGTAATAACTAACTTTTCATGGTGAAGAGATTAAAAATGTCACATGATTGAGAAATTCTTAATGAATAAGTATCCACTTAACATTTAGACAATGCTCAAGTTTATTATGTTCTAAATAATTTTACTCAAAGGTTTTCAATCATTCTTTCACTAATTAAGCATGACTTGGATTTTAAATAGATTGTTATCTTGGCATTTTCTTGGCAAATTAGAAGTTGATGTTAAAAGACAGTAAAACCTGTGTAAGTTCTGAATGTTAAAGAGACATTCTGTTTTAATATCTACATTTAAACTGGGCTTGTTATATGTGATATCAAATGTGTGTCCTTTGTTTAGTTTCTATACATTGACCTGGCAATAGAGAAACCATTTTAAACATAAAAGTTTAGAATTGCTGAGTTAAATATACATGTTTTTTTTTTTTGGGTGGACAGAGTATTTTGAACTATGGACCTTCAACTCTTCACTTTAGGAGGTACATTTGTGAAATTGTTGCTGGTTGGATATTAACAATTGGTAGTGTTATTAATTTCTAATAATCATATATCGGCAGCCCAGGTATTAAAAAAACTTACATAACTGTTTAAAAATTTGTAGCTGTTTGTGATTTATACTTTGATATTTTAAGTGGAAAGGAAAGGTAAGGGAATCTTCCTCTATATGTTGGAAGATTGCAGTTTATGTATTTCATGATTCAAACCACAAAAACCAAATGAAGAAAGCAGAATGCCCCTTTAAACTAAAGAAAGTATTTAAAGTGGAGAATATCTAAACTCACATTAAAACAAGCATGATGTAAAGCTGTATTACCACTGGAATCTGATAAACTGATATTGGCTCCATGTTCTAATAATAACTCTAGAAAATACACAAAAGGTGAACACCAACAGATCACTTTGTAAACTAGAGGATTGGCTTGTATAGTTTTAATAAAAATAATCAGATCAAGATGCTGGTTCACCCAAAATACAGGTGACTGTTCTTACAAATATGACAGAATCAATTTAAGATTTTATGAAACATTTGACAGTATCAGTGTTATTCATTATTCTGCACAGTTTAAGATTACTATTACCCAAACAATACTTACACAAATCTATCACTTACCTACTGCTCCTATATGACCATTTTCAGAAGCATACATTATAGCTGACTTTCCTCCCAAATCTACTGCATTAACATCAGCTTTACTGTTCAGTAATATCTGTAGTGATTCTCCCTGATTTGAGAACGCTGCTGCATGTAATGGGGTCCTTTAAAATAAAAACAACTTACTTCAGTTTGTTAAATCAATGATTGTCTGTGGAACAATACAATATTGACTGCTAAGCTTAAGCCTAAATATCAAAGATTGATATTTCAATGATATGAAGACAAGAAATTTCTTTTAATATGAAATCAGTCCAATCCCAATTTCCATGTACATAATTATATGTTTAGAAATGGAAGTCTCAGTGCCAGTATCTTTATGTAATTCTGTATTAATAAAAGCATTTCTTTGCAATAACAACCATATATTACCAAAGGTGAAATAATATGCAAAAGTAAATCTTTAATTTTAATCATGACTTACCTGCCCTTGGAATCTGGTAAATTAATTATTTTATCACCTAAACTGTCAATTAATAATTCTGTACATACATCATTACCATTTATCCTATGAAATATAGACAATTATCATACCTGACAAAATAGAAATATTCTATATTGCTCTATGCACTATTTTTTAACAATGAGAATTTTTGTTATTGTACCTTACAAAATATACATAAAATTATCATATCTTACAAAAACAAAAAGCTAAAATTAGCTAAGATCTTAAAATTAACACAGTCATGCTATGGTTATCAAAGAAAAACGCATTGTGTTCTTTATCTTAAGCATTGGAAATAATAGTTCTTCACATTTCAAAGTCTGACAAATCTGGCCCTACCTGTTCATCAGAAGTGATATTTGTTGGGATATTAGCACCTTACAGGCCAAATACAACTTGTCTCTTTATATGAGAGTTGCTACGATCCAAAGGTTAGGGCCATAAAATTACATAATATTAACTTACACAGAGCAATGTAAAGGTGAAAAGGTATTCTCTTCACATTTTTTATAAACTTCATGTTCTAGTAATATTTCTACACAATTGTCATGACCTGAAACAAAGAATATTTAACAGAATTCAGTCAAACATTATTTTAAGGTGCAATTGCCAAACAACACTTTATGAAGAATACACAGTATTCCCCTATTTAGGACTTCATCTTTATGAGAATAGTTGATAAACATATTAAAATAGGTTATAATGAAAATCTATTGAGAAAATACTGTCGCACATCAACTTCAAATGAGTATCAATTTTTACAAGAAAATAAAACATTTTGATTAAATCCACAAATTAAGTCATGGACGAATCTAAAGAAACTATACCTACCATTATATGATGCGAAATGAAGAGGTGAAAAACCTTTAACATCATCTAGTCTCTCAGAAGATCCCATCTTAAAATTGAATACAAAAAATTTCATTAGCATAATAAGTTACAAGTTTCATAGCCATTCGTACCTTTTGATTTTAAATATATTTAAAACAGGTGAATAATATACAATACAATATTCAATTTTTTTTCAATAAAAATCATGTTAGAGGAAAGATATCTTACAAGAAGTAAAGATCCTAGAAGACTAACATGACCACACATTGAAGCGAAATGTAAAGGTGTACGTCCACGTATGTCAGCTATTGTCATATCTGCTCCATGATGTAATAAAGCTTCTACACACTCTTCTTGACCATTAGCAGACTGAAAATTAAAACAGTTTAGTAATGTGTAGCAAAAATAAACTGCCTTGAGTTAAAACTACATGACCTTAAGTTACTAACTGTTCTCAGTATGATGTCTTTCACGATTAGTGACAGATGTCTGACTGAAGATATGAATCCCTTTAAATGCTGTATTTTCTGACCTAAGCTCTGTGAAAAAGGTTAACTTACCCCTCTATGTAAAGCTGTTCTACCTTCAATATCTCTAGTATTAACTATAGCGCCATTACGAAATAAATATATAGTACAATCTACATGACCATTAGCTACACACAACATTAGTGGTGTTCTACAAATATAACATGTATGATGTTGAAATATTACTTTAATTTTCTGGCAAGAGGGGTATCTATGTTTACCTTCAAAAGAAATGTTTGAAAGTTGAAAACTGGTGCAATTTTCTCACAAAAATTAATTGGTCCAAACAAAAAATGTCATGGTAATGTAATACCTGGTCAATCACCAATTACTATAGATACTTCAAATTCTCAAACATGATTATTTAGAATAAATATTTACCTGTCGAAAGCATCAGTACAATCTACAATATTACTATCATCAGCTGTTTCTAATAATAGATTGATACATTTCTGATTGCCATTAATAGCTGCAATAAATCAAAATATTATAATTCAACATCAACTATTAAATGGCTAACAGTTTACGACTTAAGAAGCTAACCATATATCAATATTGCTCACCTTTTTTATTGAAGTCTTTTCCATTTTAGACAATATTAAGAAGTCATAATATATAGTGAAATTCTAGTAAGGGTATATAACAATACAAGTGATATACTGTTAATATTAAGTATCATAGTGTTTTATCAAGTAAAGAACTAGACCTACCAGCAGAGTGAAGAGGTGTACGTCTTGTAATATTATCATGAACTAATATCTTAGCACCATGCATCAGTAACATTTCAACGCAATCTACATTACCACTCCAACAAGCTAGATCTAACATTGTTCTTCCTGTAATAATATTACAATGTAATTAAATACAAGTTTTTAAAATACAAAAAATTTTTTTCATCAACATAAAATGACTTGAAAAAAAATACCCCTAATCAATCATTCTGATGAACGAGTACAAATTAAGAATAATGCTCAAAACGTACCATTGATATCTTTAACATCTAAGCTCATCATATTACCTAATAGAGCATGGAGGGCTTCTATATGACCATTATACGACTGAAATATAATATAATGATTTTATATTAAGTAGTTTACAGAAACTTACAAAGTGATCAATCAAAATTTGAGTCAAAAAAGCATGTTATGAAATAATGAGCTATGTATAGTTTTCTTAAACTTTGATCTAATATATAACGTTATTTCAAAATTAAAGGGTCCATATCTCCGAATACAACATTGTCATGTATAAAACTGATACTTACAGCCAAATGACCAGGTGAAAATGGAGCACCACTTCTTAATAAATTAGTAGCTGAAAGATCTAGTAACTGAGAAAAAAAAACGTGAGCATCAATGATACTGAATAAACAGGTAAAATTTTTATGATTCTTGATAATTATAATGTATGCATATTGCATTGTAGAATGATGCAAAAAAGAAAGTAAATGTTTCCTGTATTTGTGTTATTTATTGAGGCAAATCAATATGTAACAAGTAGCAATATAAATAAGTTTAAAAGCACAGATAGGCCATTTTTTGACCAATCATACATTAGTCTCATATAAACTAAAATTTTGTAGCTGAACTAATCCGTAATGGTGTTCACAGCTCATTGTTGAAATTTGAGCCTTCAAATCCATGTGTGTCCTGAATTATCTGCATTTGAATGTTAAAATGACGACTTGTAAATTTAAGATACCTTCTTTTAAGGAATTATGTGATTTTCTTTTACTTCTCAAGACTATTTACCCCCCCACCCCTCTCCTCCCAAATGGCACACCTGTCCATGTAAATTTATATGTAAATTTATATAATGTTTACCATTTCTAAGGCAAGTTTATGTCCCTTGAGGGCTGCATAGTGAACAGCATTAAAACCATCATCATCTTTTATTCCTGGACGGGCATCATGACGTAATAACAACTCTACAACTCTACAATATAAATATATGAGTTTAAACTATACCAAATATTCCATTTTTTAGTTATTGACTTATTAATTGTGAACAAAATATTCCCATTGAATAAAAATATGTATCACTATGAATTCAGCAACAGAATTGCTGTTTTTCAAATCTAAAATTTTGAAAAGAAGAGCAAAGAGATAGTAGATAACACATACCTTGCATCAGAATCAAATGGAGCAGCATAATGTAATGGTGTACAACCTTTGATATCTGTCATATTAACTACACTATCAGCATTGAGCAATAAATTTACACATTGTTGATGAACATTAGCTGCTGCATAATGGAGGGCAGTTCTAAAATAGAAATAAATTCAGTAAACAGACAAGTAAGAAATACTCATCCAATTCAATCCAATAAATTGAAACATATGAAACATCCTTAGAATCTAAACAACTTTTTGATCCAATCTTACTTCTTGATGCTTATTTATAAATCATGTTAAAGGATTTACGACAAGATTAAAATAAATAAATAAATTCCTTTATTAGCAATCACTTTATCAGACATTTAACTAAATATAAGTTTGAGGCTTTGAAGTCTTAGAAATTAACACATTCATTCTAATGCATGAATAAAATAATTTTTTTCAACTTTTAATATTCATGACTACACTAGGACTTAAATCTAAAACTCAGAAAACTGATCATTTACACATGTGTTGATCATGTGATGAAAATAATTACGCTGTCTATCTCGAATAAATACACCTATATAACTGTAAAAGGAACAAATTCCGATTTCCGATATTGCCATCAATTGAATCCAACAGATGAACAATCAATTTATTAAGTTTTTATACCTAAAAATTCACTTTTTATAAGCAAACAAATCTGGTATCATTTTGGCTTCAACCATTGTACAAGTAGTCAAAATTAACCAGGCAGTTGATTTAATAATAGAGTGATGGCCGTTAACATCATGTTAATCAATTCTCTAGTATGGGTTTAGATTGCTAGGCCAAGAACTTGGTAACACAATATTGTTTTGGGTGAAACCTGCAATTTCTCAATTAAATTTTCACCCTTTTAACCTCAATATTTTTCTGTTCAAATATTAAGTATAAAGAAATAAATGTAGATTTTAAATCTGTCTGAAATAATTTGTTACCGTAGCATAAAATTTATGGATAACACGACGTGATTTTCATAATATCCGAGCTGAGAGAAAACGGCGGATTGCTGAAAAACTACCATTTCTCAAAAACTTTATCACAAAAAAATTACTCAAAAAAATCGGCAATTAGCTTATTCCAGTTACTATTTAATGGTACATACAGTGAAACCAGATCCTCTATAAACTGGATTTCTCTGTAAACTGGTACATTTGATAAGTCCCAGTCGAATCACTATATAATATATAGTAGATAAACCCCTGTAAACCGGCACCCTTCCAAACCACAATCTGGCATCGAAATCAAGTCCCAAAGTAGTTAATCTTTGGTTAATTAGTCTCTCTAAACCAGCACCTTAAGTAGTTCACATGCCCTGACTAATTATCTAAGGAAAAAATAAATCACTAACCGTTATTTGGTCATTTCCAAAGCTCAATTTTGCGTTAAATTAGCTGATTTTCTCGAATTGTTTAAATCATAATCATGAAACGCCCTAACAAACATCAATGTGTCATGCAACATTATAAAGGGCGATAACTACAGATAATGGATTAAGTCATAAAGGGATGTAACTCTGTTATCTTGCCACTCATACGGGTAAACTGGCAACCCCTCTAAACCGGTATTTTACAGTGGTATGACGGCCTGTCAGTTAAGAGGGGTTTCACTGTAATATTTTTAAGTTTGAATTTACATTCAAGTAGGAGCTGTAAAGGAAAGGAAGATAATGATTCACCATTTTAATACTTTTTTAGACAAGATTGTGTGACTCTCTATGTGAAAGAATCCTTGTAATTTTCGTTGGGGGAGGAAGTGAAATGAAAAACCAGATTCAAACTGACGACTGAGAACCATTTATAATGTCATAATAAAATTTGACTGCATAAAACTACTTGCCTGCCAAATGAATCTTGAATATGGACATCTGCTCCTTCATGCAATATATATTCCACACAATCTACTTTCCTGAAAAATTAATAGCAATGCAATTGACCATAAACAGTACCAGCAATGCCTTTACATTATCTACAGTACTGGAACTTTAATTAACATATAGTATTTGAACTATAATACAGTGATTAGTATTAGAGCAGGGATCCCAGTAAGGAATACAAAAATAGAGGAAGTCTTGGATTCAAGATCAGAATAGGAATAAGTTTTATGTTTTATAATATTTATAAGGTAATAGAAGTACAAGGTAATTGATCAAAAAAAGAAGACATACCCACTACAAGCAGATCCATGTAAACACGTACGACCATTGTCATCTTGAGCATTAATATTTAAATCTGGTAAAACAATATGGAATTTTCTCACACAGTCTACATAACCATTTAAAGCTGCTACATGTACTGGTAACATTCCACTGTGACCACGCCTATCAGGAAAATAACAAGTGGTTGCCTAGCAAGATAAGCCCACTTTCCTGATACATTTACAGAATATCAAGGGCAGTCACCAATCTGTGTCAAATCATACCAAAAATCTAATTTGTGCAAGATATTGTTGATTAAATCAAACACACACAATTAATAAAATTCTGACATAAACTGTCACCTCTATCGTGTTAACAAGCCATCAAATTTTGATGTGTTTTTCCTAAGTCAAGGACAATAACTTAAAGATAGCTTGCCAGGCAAGGTAATATACTCCCACTGGCAGCTTTGATTTTGAATAAAAATATTTAGCAGTACAGTAACAATCACCAGTATGAAATATTCAACCTTCAGTCATATACTTCTTTTGAACTCTTTAGGGCGATACTGAATAATATTGAGTATGAGTTATTGCCCTTGTTCTTGAAAATGTGTTCAATCTTTAGCTCATGAAAACTCTAGGCAAATATTCAATCTTCAGCGCAGGACTGAATAATAAAATCAAGTATTGTCAAAATCCAGCAAGAATCATTCCTTTTAGTGTTTCAGAGCTAAATTTGAAAGAGTTTTCAAGAACAATGGCAATAACTCATACTAAATATTTTTCGATTCTTCTGATTTTCAATAGGGTTTATCCTTGGTTGATAACAAACACTCATGCCAAGTTTCGTCAAAATCCATCAAGAATTGTGCCTTTTAGAGTTTTTACGAGCTGAAAATCGAACGCGTTTTGAATAACAAGGGCAATAACTCATACTAAACATTTTTCAATTCTTTAGATTTTCAATAGGGTTCATCCTTGGGTGGTTACGAACATTCACACCAAGTTTTGTCAAAATCTGTCAAGAATTGTGACTTCTAGAGTGTTTACGAGCTAAAAATTTAACGTGTTTTCAAGAACAAGGGCAATAACTCATACTTAATATTTATCGATTTTTCTGATTTTCAATAGGGTTTATCCTTGGTTGATAACAAACACTCATGCCAAGTTTCGTCAAAATCCATCAAGAATTGTGCCTTTTAGAGTTTTTACGAGCTGAAAATCGAACGCGTTTTGAATAACAAGGGCAATAACTCATACTAAACATTTTTCAATTCTTTAGATTTTCTATAGGGTTCATCCTTATGTGATTACAAACACTCATGCCAAGTTTCGTTAAAATTCATCAGGAATTGTCCCTTCTAGAGTGTTTACGAGCTAAAAATTGAACGCGTTTTCAAGAACAAGGGCAATAACTTATACTAAATATTTTTTTATTCTTCTGATTTTCAATAGGGTTTATCCTTGGGTGATTACGAACATTCATACCAAGTTTTGTCAAAATCTGTCAAGAATTGTGTCTTGTAGAGAGTTTACGAGCAACTGTGGACGGACGGACATGGGTGACAGTAATATATGCCCCCCATTTCATGTAGGCGTATAAAACCTGTTCATAGAAAGATTATAACTTGTCTTAAGATTTCATCATTATGATTGATCACATCAATTTTCATTTTAATCAGATGAAAACTGTAGTCTCTATTGTGTACACAAACAAATTTTGATGCGTTTTTCCTAAGTCAAGGACAATAACTCAAAAACTGTTCAGCGAAAGATAGCCAACCTCGAACTTTTCCAAAGATCTCATCATTATGAAATATTCACACCACATTTCATTTAAATCGGATGAAAACTGTTGTCTCTATTGGGGACGGACGGACAATATACGATCACATTATAATGTGGGCGTATAAAAACCGTTCATCGAAAGATCGTCGAATTCAAACATGTCCAAGATCTAATTGATGTAAATGATCACAGTTTCAGTGTATTTCTGATATCCTAATAATCCCTTCAATGACATACCTCATAGGATCAGCACCATTCTCTAACAAACAATTAATCAACAATTCATGACCATAACGAGCAGCAATATGTAGAGATGTGTTACCCATTTTATCACAAGCATCAATTTCAGCTCCTTTAAATAATAAATCATTTTAAAAAAGGCAAAAACTTCACAAATGAACAAAACATATCAATAATATCTTCAAGAATATACCTAGTAAATCAATTATCGTTATCAAAACGTCTATCTTAAGGGTTTTGAGAGTCTGTTAAATTGATTAGGTGCATCTTAACTTTCCTTACACACACATATTTTTATATCTCCTACTAAAAGAGTAATTTATCTCCTTATTTCAAATGCTTTTAAACTCCATATGGAAATCTGTAGTCTCTACTTGTGACCTTGGCCAGTGCTTCTATAGGAGAGTATCTCCTATTATGTCTGATACTAGTTTAAATATAAACGGGAAATGAGTTAATAGTCTCTAGGTCAAGGCAGTGAGCAATTAAACAATTAGCTGAGCTATTCTAGTCTCATTAAATCAATCAAGTTATATCAACATCAATAATCAACATGCTATGTTAAATCATTTGGGGTAATGTAAGGATAAAAGTAGTTATTATAAATATGTCTCACCATGCTCTAATAGGGTTTGAGCTCTGGTAAATCTACCATGCAATGATGTTAAATGTAATGGAGTCCTACCATCCACACACTGTAAAATATTACATTATCTTTAACATGCAGAAAGAATTAATTAACTCAAAGGCTATACTTAACAAAATTTGTATATTTTCAGCAGACTTGAGCCTGTTTTCAGCTTTTTCGATGTAAAAAAAATTATAACTATGAAAATTGTGGCATGGCTATCATTAAACCATGAATAACATTTATCACAGGCAAATGAAACAAATGTTAAAAGGCCAAAATAAAACATGGAATGCTGCAAGTCAAGCCTACTGAATGAACAAAGAATAAGGCATTTAAGTCATCAACAGCTTTGATGAAGTAATAAATGAGGCATAAAATGAAAGATAGCTTGCCAGGCAAGGTAATATACGCCCACTGGCAGCTTTGATTTAGAATAAAAATATTTATCAGTACAGTAACAATCACCAGTATGAAATATTCAACCTTAAGTCTACACTTCTTTTGAACTCGTTAGGGCGATACTGAATAATATTGAGTATGAGTTATTGCCCTTGTTCTTGAAAACGTGTTCAATTTTTAGCTTGTGAACACTCTAGAAGGCAAATATTCAATATTTAGTGCGGGACTGAATAAGAAAACCAAAATCAAAATCCAGCAACAATCATGCCTTTAAGAGCTAAATTTGAAAGCGTTTTCAAGAACAAGGGCAATAACCCATACTAAATATATTTCGCCTCTTCTGATTTTCAATAGGGTTCATTCTTGGGTGATTACGAACACTCACACCAAGTTTCGTCAAAATCTGTCAAGAATTGTGCCTTCTAATGTGTTTACGAGCTAAAAATTGAACGTGTTTTGAAGAACAAGGGCAATAACTCATACTAAATATTTTTCGATTTTTCTGATTTTCAATAGGGTTTATCCTTGGGTGATAACAAACACTCTTGCCAATTTTCGTCAAAATCCGTCAAGAATTGTCCCTTCTAGAGTGTTTATAAGTTAAAAATTGAACGCGTTTTCAAGAACAAGGGCAATAACTCATACTAAATATTTTTCGATTCTTCTGATTTTCAATAGGGTTCATCCTTGGGTGATTACAAACACTCACACCAAGTTTCATCTAAATCTGTCAAGAATTGCACCTTCTAGAGTGTTTACGAGCTGAAAATTGAACGCGTTTTCAAGAACAAGGGCAATAACTCATACTAAATATTTTTCGATTCTGCAGATTTTCAATAGGGTTCATCCTTGGGTGATTACGAACACTCATGCCAAGTTTTGTTAAGATCCATCAAGAATTGTCCCTTCTAGAGTGTTTACGAGCTAAAAATTGAACACGTTTTCAAGAACAAGGGCAATAGCTTATACTAAATGTTTTTCGTTTCTTCTGATTTTCAATAGGGTTTATCCTTGGGTGATTACGAACATTCATACCAAGTTTTGTCAAAATCTGTCAAGAATTGTGTCTTGTAGAGTGTTTACGAGCAATTGTGGACGGACCGACAGACTGACATGGGTGACGGCAATATACGCCCCCATTTCATGTGGGCGTATAAAAATGGAAATTAACTAATATTAGTAATTACATAAAAGATAGCTTGCCAGGCAAAGTAATATGCGCCCACTAGCAGCTTTGATTTTGAATAAAAATATTTAGCAGTACAGTAACAATCACCAGTATGAAATATTCAACCTTCAGTCATACACTTCTTTTGATCTCTTTAGGGGGATACTGAATAATATTGAGTATGAGTTATTTCCTGTGTTCTTGAAAAATCCAGCAAGAATCATTCCTTTTAGTGTTTAAGAGTTAAATTTGAAAGAGTTTTCAAGAGCAAGAGCAATAACTCATACTAAATATTTTTCAATTCCTCTGATTTTCAATAGGGTTCAGCCTTGGGTGATTACAAACACTCACACCAAGTTTCATCAAAATCCCTCAATAATTGTGCCTTCTAGAATGATTACGAGCTAAAAATTGAACACGTTTTTCAAGAACAAGGGCAATAAATCATACTAAATATTTTTTGATTCTTCTGATTTTCAATAGGGTTCATCCTTGGTTGATTACCAACACTCACACCAAGTTTTGTCAAAATCCGTCAAGAATTGTGTCTTGTAGAGTGTTTACGAGCAATTGTGGACGGACCTACGGATATGGGTGACGACAATATACGTCTCCCATTTCATGTGGGCGTATAAAAATTAATTTTTTTTTAAACATGCCATAACCCAAACAGTAGAACATTTCATGACACTTGGCCATTTCATCAGACTTCTATATACCACAGCATTTTCAGGATAACTAATCCCTGACCTCAAGGCTCTTTTAGACTTTTTAACAATTCAAATATGATGCCGTCTGAGTTTTCACCAGTTTTCCCACAATAAACAAAAAATCATTATTGATTGTACTGTAAGGCATGATCTTAACAATTGCTAAATGTTTTTAAACCACACTAATTTCTATTAGGATAGGGTATATTTCACACCATGCTTGTAGTCGAGTCACTTACTCTGATGTCTCTTAAATATACACTTATCATTTCTTTTATACAATAAAGACTGAAAATTACAATTAGGGGCAATTTAATTAGCATGAGATTTGGAATGTAAATTTGCAGAATATAAAAAGTAATGATTATATATTTGTTTTTTTTTCCAGAAAATACTTAAAAAGTTACTTAGAAAAAAAGTTCATTGAAAAATTTATATCAATTATTGCCTTCAATATAAAAATACTACCTGTAATTTAGGGTTTGCCCCCTCTGTTACTAATATTTCTAAACATATAGCACCATGGGTGGAGGCTGCTGCATAATGAATCGGTGTCTGAAATATAAAGTATTTTTAATATATTACAATAATATCAAAGGCTTCAAATAGCCTTGAAAAACTTGTACCATTTCACAAATGCAGTAAATGTTCATATTCACTGTCATCAGTTTACCAATAAAACTTAACTATTTAATGGATCATTCAGGAAAACCTGAGAACAGGCAGCACTAGGAATGCAAGAGGGTAAGATGATATTACCCAATGCTTTCAGATTACCTATTATGAATAAAAGTAATACCGCTAAAGGAATATCAATTATAAATAATAAATAACATACCAATCCTTTAGAATTGACAGCATTAACATTAGCATCATATTGAAGAAGTTTGTTGACCACTAGATCTTGTCCATTTAAACAGGCTACATGCAGAGCTGTATTACCATACAGATTAACAGCATCAACTTCCACTCCTAGTTCTAATAATAAACATACCACAGATACCTGACCACTAGCAGCTGCAGCATGGAGTGGTGTGTATAGCTGTAATAGAAAATATCGAATAAACACCATTTAATGTACTACGAGACAGAGGCATTTCATTAAAAAGTGGGCATGCTATGCCTCGTGACAATACTAGAAAAACGACATGCATTCTTTAAACAAAGAAATAAACTCTGTAAACTGGTATAACCTTTTTATCTCTACAATTCAATTCAGCACCATGTTCTACAAGGATCCTCACCACATCTTCATGACCCATGTAAGCAGCCCAATGTATTGCTCTTCTATCTTTTTTATCAAAGGCATTAATAGTAGCCCCACTTTTCAATAAAAGTTCCACCATCTAAAAGAAAGGAGTTAATTATAAGTTATAATTTATTGTCATCTAAATTTTCAATATGGAGAAAAACGTGATATCTAAAAAAATAGAGTTGAATAGTGATTTGACATATCATTTAAGGAGTTAAATTTTACCACCAAATTAGATAAAGGAGGCCTAAATATAGGCTATATCATTAAAAAAAAATTTGCTGTCAATGAAATTGATACTATCAGGTAATTCAACAACAAAAAAACCATTGAAAACTGCAAAATAGAGGTGAACAGTATCATACCTCTCTGTGGCCATTAAAGGCAGCATGATGTAGACTTGTTCTGCCAGCCCTATCAGACACGTTAATATTGGTCATTAAAGGAATAATAAACTCAGCACATTTGACAGCAGAGTTAGCAGCTGCTACATGTAATGGTGTTTGCCAATTTTTATCTCTGGCATTGACATCAGCATTATGACGTAACAAGGTTTCAACACCATCCTAGAGAACAATCAGAAATAGCATAAAATCTCTTAATCAATAATCAATCAAATGACAGACATACATCATCAATCATTCTATCCAATTTTATTATAATGATAGCATAGCTTTCTCATACAATAGTCTCGAAACATTCATCGCAAGTCTGGTGAAATTTCAAATAATTCAGTTTTCAAGATACTTCTAACATTTCAATAAAAGGTGTTGAAATACATCCGTAAATGCATTCTTGTGTTTTTACACAAGATGATCTTACCTCACATTTGGATCCACAACCCCTATGAAGAGGAGTCAGCCATTTATTATCTTTAGCATTTACTCTAGCACCACTTAATATCAATAGGTCTGAGATTTCTGATTCACCACAATAAGCTGCAGCATGGAGAGGACTTCTTTTCTCTTCATCCTAAATGGTACCAAAATAATGACCACATGGTTTTAACAGGCAAACTCATTCCAATCATCCAAGCAGGTATTTCAGATGTTCAGATGACTGTTATGAAACACATGAATTTAAAACATTATTTACCTGATAATTCACGTCTTCTTTCTTGTATAATAATGATCTTACTTCATCTGGATCACCATGGAAACAGGCCTGGACCAACAGAGGCTAAAATAAATGTATGGTACAGAAAAGAAAAAGTAAGATCAGAACAAACCAATCCTAACTTTTAAATATAGGTCCCAATAAATACATAACTATTTACAGAGTGATAATGAATTTCAATAAAAGCCATTAACAAAAAAATATAAAAATGAAATACAAACTTAAACTAAAACACAAATATAAAAGATAGCCTGCCAGGCAAGGCAATATACGTCCACTACCAGCTGTCAGAAATGATAAAGTCTTTGGTTACTTAATAATGAACTTCAATAAAGATTGAAATAAGCTTAAAAATATTCATAAGTCAAGGTGAAACCACAAAATAAGTTACATCAAATTATCATCAAATTCATACATAAACAAGATCTCATCGACGTACACACAAGTGCATTTACTCTGAAACCGTCCACATTTCCAAAAATGAAGACAAAAGAAATTCAAAAGTATATAAATAAAAATGCTAATAAAATTCAATCTGGTCACAATGCATGTCTGAACAGCACATATCTCAAGGCTCTAATGAACAGACTTCTGAAGAAGTTGAAATTTGAGTCTTGAGATATATGCTGTCTAAATTTCAACTGCCGGTACCTCAGAAGTCTGTTAACAAACTTTTCACATGTGGCGTAACCTGATTATAAAGGTGAATCAGCTATTGAATTTTAAAGATGTAATATTTACTATTCAAATTAGATGCTCCATTCTATTGTCCACAACAAAAATTTTATTTCGAATATCATTATAGATTTCAATAAATTTCACATGCAGATTTACATATGGCTGAGTAATATATATCGCCTCATTTAAAAATACCCAAATATTGCCAAAGGATTTAAAACAGAACCTAAAAAAAACATACTGTCATTGCTCAGAGTTTCACACTATTGTGATATTATGGTAATTATCATTATATAATGTAGAAATTTTAATCAAATTGAAAACATCCAAACTTTTCCAACATGTAACTTTATATCTGAAAGATATTTATTGTTTGTTTGATTGAATGTTTTAAGACAAGAATTCAGATGTTTGGAATGTTTAACAATTAATCTGTAAAGTCTTTGAATGGCATTTAGCAATTGTGAGTACGATATATAGACACAGCTTTATGGAACAACAATCACTGGTTAAAGTTTTATGCAACGTTTCGACGTGTTTCCCCCGTCGTCCTCAGGCACATAATGAGAAGAAGTGATGGGCAAACTATATATACATTAATGCTTATTATTAAGAACACACAAGAGATAAATGGTTTATTGATACATTACATTAAATTTTAACAGGTACAATAAGAGGTACATAATTCTTAAAATAACATACAGGCTGATTAAGTAAAATAATTGAAATAAAGTAAATGAATTAAAAAAGATTAAATAAGCAACTATTGCTAGTATTGGAGTCTTTTATTAATAGAAACTACATTGTTCATATAACTATGCTTAAAGTTGGAAATTGTTTATTAAATACATTTATGAATATGAATAATTACAAGTTGATAAGTTTATCATATGCATGCGATAAACGAACACCTTCATCTCTGTTAAGGTCAGGCTGATATCATCTGATGTGGATAGCTTTATGAAGTCTCCTGGTTTTATCTATGTGCTTATTGATTGTCAGTATGTTGGTATTGTCAAAGTTGACTTTATGTCCTGTTTTCCTTCCCATAGCAAGATGTTCAGCCTCAACAGATGTTCCTTCATTGCCGGGCTTTTCTTGATGGTCTTTGAGTCGAACATCAAGGGGTCTCTTTGTTTCCCCTATATAAGAACTTCCACAGGAGCACTCAACTTGGTAGACACATCCCTTAGGTTCTTGGTTGTTGGAGGGATTCAATTTACCACTGGCTCTGAGCAAATCTTTAAGCGTTGAGTTGCCAGAGAACACTGTTTCAATGCCGACTGACTTTTTCATGATCTTCTTGATTTGGTATGATGCCTTTCCGATGAATGGGATAGTTAAGCGGGTTGATGGTCTGTTGGGATTAGGCTGTTGGTTGGTTGGTTTTGCCATTAATACGGATAGAAAAGCTTGATGTACTGCCATTATGTCAATTATCTTTAAAGTACCAACTATTTATGTTATGATGAAAATGATATATAGCCATGGTTCATAACATGTGATGTTTCACCTGATTAATGTTTCACCCAATGAAAGGTGACAGATAACTAATAAGTTAAACTCATCATCATTGCAAACATGGTTAGAAGATATGCCAAGTTGGTGAACATTTCTCTATAAAAAGAAATTTGCATGATAGGACTTGATTTAAGCAACCAATCTAAATGAATTTTAGGAGTTGGTTAAATTCACTGTCAATGTTATTGAGTACGTGATTTGCTTAAAACAGAATAAATGCAATTCTAGCAAAGAGCAATCTTCACATTCTTTCATATGTTAAAGTTACAAATTATTTGACATCAAAAATATACTTCTATTGTGCTGAATATAACACAATTGTGTGGTCTTGATGGAGCATTTCACATGATAGTGGGTAGTGAGAACATAAGGATAAGGAATGAGAAATTGAAACTTGGCATGGTCTTGAAAATACACTTGACTTGAATGAACATCTGACAAGCTCACGCAATTATAGAGTCCCATTTGGATAATTCTAAATTTCATACCTGGTCCTCTAACTGCTGGAGCATTAAACCTCCAAGCTTCATATTGACAGCAAACAATTTCAACTTTTGTTAAAAGTTATTTTCATGTTTCTACTTTACTGATAGCACAGAAAAAACTTGTCATCCCTTTGCCGCCATGACAGGTCTTTTATGAAGTTTGATTGGCTGAAACTAGTCACGTGTCAAAACTTTTCTTAAAGTTACGGATTTGCTATTAGTTTCTTTTACATAATCTGTCTATATTCTAAGATAAGTCCGTAAATTCCATAACGCTGTTCTTTTACAAAGGGTGTCACTAAAATGCTGACAACGTCTCACAAATTAACTGCAAAACCCGTTATAAAAGTATCTTTCAGATAGAAGACCAATATTATTCTAAAAGATTTTATTGGTAAATTTTTTTAGCCTCAATGTTGATGAATCAATTTCTCTCGTCCCTGGGGTCTAGGTTTACCAAGCAAGAACCATATCCACGCTATTGAACAGGAGTCTGCCTACGTAAGTCGTGATTGACGTTTTTTTAATCGGTAAGTTTAAGACAAGTACAATATCAGTTTTTCGTTTAGATCTACTGATGGAAGAATAGTTGGAATATGATTTCGCCCTGAGAATAGGCCTAGATCTATATCATTTTGATCCGAAATCAAATGATTTCATCAGATACATCGTCTGCTATGTATATTTAAGCATTTTACCCCAGTCAGCACGAGATCGTGCTGTGATACTATGTATCAACAGTAACGTAACCTACTTTTTGCAAAACAGGTTATAATTAGTCAGATTGTTTATTTAGTCCCCTATAATCTTAATTAGTTTATTGAAATTATTCTAATTTACTCGGAAATATTGTAGACGAGAACTTTAACTTTTGTAGATAATTTTGATTGGAAGAAAGACTACCTTTCCATCAATTAAATTCATGGAGGGAAAGAGTGATTTTTATCATTAAAAAAATTCTGATACAGCTTTGAGATTTTCATAGTTTATCGAGTCAAGAGTCAGATCTCTTACGAAATGGCAGACCCTATCGCTATTGCTAAATGAACAATGATCTAGGTAGCCTCAATGGAGATAATTATACCTCAATGGAGATGATTATACCTCAATGGAGATGATAAAACCTCAATGGAGATGATTAAGCCTCAATGGAATATGATTTCAACAGTGTCTAATTCTTCTAATGTGAAGATACCAGTGCTGATGAGCTCACAAAGGAATATCTAGCCAGGCTTAAGAAAATGTTATATTCTTTCCATATCCTTTTTGGGCCCTTTATTTTTTATTTGACTAATAATTCAAATGACATCACCTATTATAATCATACTTTTTTTTAAAGTAAACATAATATCTTTCTTGCTTAATTTATTAGAAAATGCAATTCAAATTAGGCCTGCAACTGTATGATGCGATGTATTGAAGCTATGAAGTTATGGTCTTGTAATGTATTATTGGTGTATACAAGTGTATTTTGTGATTGGTCAGTTTGTTGCTATACGTGATAATTGAAAATAAATTGATTGCATGAATACAATGACTTAGAATTGGACTTAACCTGGAAAAAAAAATCATCGATTCAATTTGACAGGTCAGTGCCAGTTTTGTTTATTTCCGGTTAACTACACCGATAATATTACACAATCATGTAACTACATTTGATGCAACTGTATTATTTGATGCGATACGATCGGCAATGTCCGATATTTACAGACACCAAAGTGGTCGGCTACGTCCTCTGTTTACGGACACCTAATACGTCTACTCATTCAGTTTTTATTTTCATTATTGTAACACTGACAGTTCTTAATTCGAAATTTGGAATGTTTTTATGCTCTGTTTTAAGAAGAATTTTAAGACCTATTTGACCTAGATCTAAATAAAATAACCCAACTCGTCATAGTTGACCTATATCTTATCAGTTGTACTTACTCCTCTATTATTTTGAGACAACTTCATTTGTACAATGAGAATCGAGACTTAAAATGAGACAGCTTATCAATATGGAAATTTGGCAGTCATTACCTAGTTTTGATTGACTATTTATAGAAATTCCTGATAATATGTAAAAAAAAATTAAGATGGAAATAATAAGCCTTGAAAAGGAGGGAGGAGAAAAGAATAGCCGGATGCTTCAGACTAACGGTACAGTCTAAAAAAGAATGAACAGTAAATGAAGGTGATTATGTTTCTATAATGCAAAAAAGTGTTATAATGCCCAATCTTATATCATCACTGAGGTTTTCTTATTGACATAATTATCTCAATCTTTCCTCTCATAAAGTCAATTTCCTGGTTTTTGGCCATTTTCCTGACATATAACCGAAAACATGCGTAATTTTTTTATCATTCAAGGTAAGTTTAATTTGCCTCATTGGTCATAAGGGGTATTTCCCATTGCAGCATTAAGCCTATTATCAATATAGATTTCCCCCTGAAAAAGTGATTGAGACTAATTTCATAAATACTATGACTGCTCAACCACAGTGTCAATGCATAGTCCTGAAAAATCACATATTTTATTACAAAAATTTTCATACATTGTTTATGTTAGAGAATTTGTAATATATTTCAGTGAACGAAACACAATAGTGATGTCAACTGCACAGCCTACACCTTCAGACTCCAACAACTCAAACCAATCCACTGAACCTAGCTCATCTAATACTAATAAAGAACAATCTAAAACTCCAACCAAATCAACCAAGCCACTTAGTACCAGTGCTAGAAGGTAGCTTTACAACAACTTATTGTCAATAAGCTAGAATTAAAATTTATTTACATATTTATTTAAATAAAGCATGTCTTTGCATGTGACAAGTATGTAATCAACAAAATAATGGATCTTAAAAGTTTCATTGTGACTGTGAATCAAATTTAGAGAAAATCAAATGTACAATTTACCGGTATATATATTTGCCAAGGAAGAATGGCAGTACCAACAATATGAAATGAAGGAATAAATGCCCAATTAAAGATGAGTTTCCTTATTTTTCAGTGTCAAATAAAGCAAACTATTTGAGTAATTGGTGTTTCTAATTATCATGTATTCTTAGTCATATCGTTATGTTCTTATTGCATATAATTACAAGTTTTAACCAATCATAAATGTCCATGTATGTACAGTCTGGATGAATAAAAAAAGACTTTGACCTTTCTTGATTGGTCAGTGCTTTTAATTCTCTTCTAGTTTAGCTAATTATGAATTAATTATGGACATGTGAGACAAACTGGTCTTTATCTAAGTCATTAGAGCAACTCTACTTTCTATTTTCTATAAGTATTAGCATTTTCATTCTCATGAATGAAAATAAGGGAACCCATCTTTAAATGCCAGGACAGGGGCACAAGTTTAGTTTTTTGGTGGTTTACAACATTTGAGAATAAAAAATTGTATAACACTGATTGAGCCAGTAATTTTCATCTGTAATTTTATTGTTTTTATATTATAGACTTCAACGAGAACTAGCAGAAATAACACTTGATCCACCTCCAAATTGCAGGTAAGTACTGGTTACATTTAGGGAATGGTTAAGAAGGTGCTCATATACAAACCAACTCTTTATCAGGGAAAATATTCTGAATCTTGAGGTTCCTTTTCATGTTTCCACTTGCCATCTATGATCTAACGAAGGATAATTTATTCATTATTGCAATCTGTTGCGTTTCAGTGCTGGGCCTAAAGGAGACAATCTGTATGAATGGGCATCAACTATATTAGGTCCTAAAGGATCAGTTTATGAAGGAGGTGTTTTCTTTTTAGACATTTTCTTTTCACCAGAATATCCATTTAAACCACCAAAGGTAAGCCAACTGTTTATAATATATCACTATGATCTTACCAATTATGTTATCACCCGATACTAGTAACAAAATTGACCTTGAAACCACTGTATCATTGAATCTTTGATTAAACAGCAATTGATTGGTGTATTATTTTAAGAGCATGACATAACGTCAGGTCATGGACAAAAAAAAATCCATAAAACAAAACATCTAGATTATATTAATCAGATTGTCTTCAATGAATCAGATTGGAGGTTGATTATGACTATTGATTTTAAAGAGAAGAAGTTGGTGATTGTTTATGCCATTAATAATCAATGAATTCTATATTTCAGGTTGTGTTTAGAACTAGAATATATCATTGTAATATAAATAGTCATGGTATTATATGTTTAGATATACTAAAAGATAACTGGAGTCCAGCCTTAACTATATCTAAAGTGTTATTATCAGTGTGTTCATTATTAACAGATTGTAATCCTAATGACCCTCTAGTAGGCAGTATCGCTCAGCAATATACAACCAGTCGAGAAGAACATGATAAATTAGCTCGACAATGGACAAAACGATACGCTACATAGCTCATAATATTGTCAACAAAATTTTAAGTTGTATTTTAGCTTTTAAAACAAACTTTATCTACAGACCAATTTGTCAATGTGGTAAAAATACCTTGAGGCACATTCAGATGGATTGTATCCATAACACTTAAGGGTAAGCATGTTGTGACATCATCATAACCTTATCCTGTTACTTCTCAAAACTAAACAAGAATGTGAATTTTGTAACTCTTTTTATATGATAATAATATCTTGTCTGAACTATCTGCTGCAAGACAAGTATACCTATATTCTATATAAACATTCTGTTCTATTTCTGTGGTGTTTATTTTTTTGCCTGGTTGCATAAAAAAGGAAAAGGTAACAAATAGAATATGAATTGTCATTTGATAATACATATGCCAGGATTTAAAACTGTTTATCTGAATAGTAGAATTATTTTGATTTGATCTTAAGTGATAATGTCATTGGCATATATGACCTTGACAGCGTCTAAATATAAACTTGTCAATGTCATGGAATTTCAATGAATGGGCATTCAAATTGTGTTTTTTGGCTTTAATATGAGTATGGAAAATATATATTGAATGTTCTTTCTTAGTCTTCATATTGATTCTGATTTTAAAGTGTTTGTTTCTTGTATTGTATGAATGAGCTAATGAAAGTTTTTCACTTTGTTAACCACCTGAATATGTGCCTACTGTGACAAGAAACAAGTTTTATTAAATGAAATGGCAATGTTGTAATGGAAAAGCATCTTATTTATTGATATTTTCAATTTTCAAACAGGGGAATTCTTGTATCTATGATGAAATAATTTTTAATCTACCTATTTATTTCTGAGCATCCAATGTTTTGAATTAATGGTTTATGTATAAAATGATTTCACCACAATTTTATTCGCTGAATATTAGACTCAATAGCTAATTAAAAAGACTTTGAACTATCCAGGTACAGATTAGAGCTCTAGACTAAATGCCACTTATTAGTCTACCCAGTTGGTTTATGGTAATACAATTCGACAAATGTATGAATTAATTGAAAACAAATTCTTTTGTTGAGCATGGATAGGTCAGGTTAACAAGTCCAGTCATTTTCCAATGGCAAAATCAAACAGGAAATTACTGTAGTCTGGAAGTGAAACCATTACTGATTTACCTCTGTAAAGGTATTTTACAGACCGAAAATGACACTACCCATAGAGTTATAAATAGAACTAATATAGGTCTATGCAAATATCTAACTTTGCTAAATGACCCAATTTTGGTCAAGTATTTGGTCTTTTCCTCCTAATTCAACCCAAAGGGAAACATAAAACCAAATTAAAAACGATCACTAAAAAAAAGAAAATGTGTAGTATAGGGGACAACTGCACAAAAACAATAAGTTTTTATCTTCTCAAGTTATAAAGCAACGACACTGAAATTTGCAGGCCATATCCCCATTGGCTATCTGGGCAATTGACAAAACACAGAACTGAATTATCTGCCATAGATTCGGAATAAGGGTAGGATATGTGGGCGACTTTCCGCGTTATAGGCCATATAGTCCGAAAATGCCGAACATCTAACTTTGCAAAATAACCCAATTTTGCCCAAGTGTTGGGACTTTTCCTACTAATTAGACCCCAGGGTCTTCGAAAAACACACAAAACCAACGTAAAAAACAGTTACAGAAAAAGCAACTACTGCAATAAACGCTCGCATATCAAAATAAATTTTATGTTAAAAACTTACAAAGCTAAAATTTGCTGGCCATATGCACATTGGCTATCTAGGCATCTGAGAAAAAACAGAACTCAATTATCTGCCATAGGTGAGGAATAAAGGTAGGAAATGTGGGCGATTTTCCGCTCTATAGGCCACATTGGTCGAAACTGCCAAAGACCTAACTTTGCTAAATAACCCAAATTTGCCCAAGTGTTAGATATTTTGCTACTAATTGGACCCCAGGGGCTTGAAATACACATAAAACTCAACACCTAACTTTTCTAAACAACCAAATTGTGCCCAAGTGTTGGTTCTTTTCTAGTTATAATCGCTAGTGTGTCAACCACAAAATAATAAACTTGTGTATAGATTCCTATTGTTGGCTACTCGGATTTGGCTATTTGTGATAGGCCTACGTTCATTCTTGAATTTTGCCCATTACATGTTTTATTACAATCTAACTTTGAAGCAGTTCATAGGCACTTCGCGCGACAGTAGCGCTTAGACAAAAGCAAAAAGTTCTAGAGCAGTGCTTTTTAGTCTCACCGCCCGAGCAAACGAAAAGGACGCTTTCGTTCAACATTTTGGCTTATAGTTTAACACCAACGCTCTGTCCACATTAAACTGGAAGAAGCCATTGGTATTTTGATTGATGACAAGACATCTCAAGAGAGGTTATAGATTTTCTTATCAGACTGTAGTTGCAGGAACCAAGTATTTTGTACTGTCAGTTAGTTCATGAGAGTTTTCAGTCTTACTCTCTAATTTTACTGATTATATTTCAACAATGATTAACATCTGTCACCGTCAAGGTCCAACAGTAAGAGGCAGTTACAGGAATATATTTATACAAACAACAGAATACCGTAACTGCAATAGAAGCATCTATACTAGGATATTAATAAGAAAAACTCAAACAATTTATAGTTAAAAATAGCCCAGGCCTGCAAGAGAAGCAAACTTTTTACAAAATTTGGAGGCTACACATGTATAATTATGAATATGTAAACTGATCAAAATGAAGGCTATGAAATGCATAAAGGATACTGAGCTCCAATGTAATAAATATTGTATCACAATCCGGACAATCATGACATCTCTCAGGAACGTTTGTGTGAAGCTCATCCTGACAGTGTTAACGCAATATGGTTAGTCCGAAACATCTGCTGCCTCTATTCCAGCCTCTGGTGGGTATTTTGACATTGACAGGACCCAATGTTTCTGTTCTCACACAAGTTGATAACTTTCCAAAAAGCTATCAGGATCGAATACAGCCAGATGTTTCGGTCTAACTTTTAGGTAAGCATGTCCTTTATTGGTTGTAGTTGTGGTCTTCAACTGAGTTCGTATACACTGACTGTTGAACTGTTGTCTTCCCAAAACAAGTGTAGGTGTGTCAACATCTCAACTGGAATTTCTCCAAAAATCAATATGATATTTTGAAAAGAGTTATTTTAATAAAGTAAAATATTGACGGACAGTGAAATACTTTTAACATGTTTTCTTGAGACACTAGGTAGAGTAGGTGGTTCCGGAATGTTAAGGACTGATAAGGGAGAAACCTACACTTTCTTTAGTCATGGAATCAAGAGATATAAACAGAATACAATCTACGAAGAAACCCTGTCGATTGAAGTTTTCAGGAACACAAAAGGTTCAAATTCCCTCTCGAATCATATACATTTTATCAAAAGAGATAGGCCTACATAAAACAGTGTCTTTGAATTGTAAAATACCTGGGTGAAATGCGAAGACTTTAGGGCAATAAGGTTAAAATTGTTTTTTGGGACTCGAGTCGTTCTCTCTTTTTCTGATTGTGATACATGGTGCACGAATATTTTACTGCATAATGTTTTTACGGCGAAACAAATCGATGGACAGCTCTTAAATAGAACGATGTCAGAATATGGCAAAGATTTGCTTTTTTGTATTTTTTCTTTTACCTTTTTATCTCTTCATGAAATACACTTTAATGATAGTGCCGTTCCATATATACCCCCTTTCCCACTAGATAATAGATAATTGTAATTTAAGTGCGATGAAAACTCGGTTGATTAATGAGTTTCTACAGGAAGTTGTCTCTCTTCGTCTCCAAACATTTCACATTGATTTAAATTACAACTTCATCCACATCATTATCATCTTCGACTACAGTTGGAATCATCATTGTCATCATCATCATCATCACTATCGAATACAACTTGTCTCATTATTATCATCTTTATCTACCACTTTATCTACTACTCGACCAAATAGTCTTATTGTCATCATAACTTTAACTTGTATCGCAGTCATCATCATAATCTTCAAGTACAGATAGGTACTCTGGGAGCGCCATTGCTCTGTTTATGAATGTACCTTCAATACAAAATCGTTAAATATCAATTACCAATGAAAAAGCAATACTAATACCATTAGTAAGCATCGCCTACGTACCAACGTCATTATTATCATCTTCAACCACCACATGTCTTTATCTTCTTCTATAACGAGATTCCTAGTCATTATAATCATCTCACCAGAATATGCTTGACCCCACTGGGAGCCCCCACTGTTATGTAAGTATTTAGTAGCGATGGCCAATGCAAAAAGCAATAAGTGGGCGTGACAGGTACCTTTTGTAATACATTGCAGTAAACATCGACCACGCACTATAGAGCAATTAATTGCCCAATGTTGGTAGTTTAGGCAAGATAATACATTTATCTAATCTGCATATTGATCAAAAGAAATGGATGGAGAAGTTTTTGGCACGTTATTAGAGCCCGACAAATTAGGTCTAAACATGCCGCTATCCAATTCGTATATCACGTCCGAGGAAAGTGGGGCCAGATTTGTTGGGTTAAAATTATTAGAGTTAGTCTAAACTTATTGAAACCATCGAACAGTTTTGATTGCAGATTGATTCGCATATATTAAAGGACAAAAGGTTATGAAGACCTACACAATCCACTTTTCAAAATATATATAGTAAATATAATTCTATAAGTTCAGTTAAAATAGTGCTTGGATAGAAGTTTACATCATGAGGTTATTGGAATATACTGTTCTTGTAATGGGAATAATTGTTTGTGTGTCAGCGGGGTTGAATGATGTTGTGCCAGACAAAGGTTATGTATTTTTTAAATTTTGAAAGTCTGAATTAAAACTCGCACAATTATTTATTAAAGTTCGATATAGTACAAGACAACCTACCTTAATATATAAAAGTAGACTCTACAACACACCGACAGCCGTGTGATCCAAAATACATACTTTTTGACATCCAAGACAACCATGCATAGAGGAGTATTATAAAAGCTATCGACTACCAACCAAATCATGCAAAAAATACTAAGGAGCGTACTCTCAGGAGGATGGGCCAAAAGTGAGAGGTGTCTCTCAGGAGCTAGGCCGAAGGGCAATGGCCCCTTGAGGCCAGAGGCCCCCCGAAAAACCCACGTACTTCAGAATTTTGAGCATTTAGAGCATACGCTACTGCCATAACCTATTTCATTCAGAACCCTTCAGTCTTTTCATTACATTTTCTTTTTATCTAATTATTACTTAATGTGAAAGTTTGATTTTTTTTTCAGAATGTTTTGGAACAAACAATGGTTTAAGCTATTCTCAGTCCTACATTAGACATTATAGAAGTATGAAACGACGATATAAAGAATGTACACATATTAACGGCAACTTGGAAATCACACATCTAGCTAACAACGACTACAACTACGACATGTCTTTTCTGAATAATATACGTTACGTCACCGGTTACGTTTTGATTGCATTAAATACTGGAGTGAATGTGTTGCGGTTTCCTAGTTTACAAATCATACGTGGTAACAATACCATGAGGTTGCGTGGTAAAGAGTATAGTTTAGCGGTCGCGCTGAATTATAAATCTAATTATCCTAAATTGGGTTTAATTGAACTACATTTCCCACAATTAAAAGGTAAGTAATACAGGTCACGAGAAAGGGTGTTTGGTGCAGGACGAACTTCAAACTAAGGAACATCCATTGCCAAATCAGCCAAATTTTTCCAGGGTTACAATACATAAAAATTACATTTAAGGGTAGTTTTTTTTAGGTGGTATAAATCAGTGAATATTTATCAAAAATAGTCTTAATATGTCTTACAAACATTACACAATTATTTACAATATTCTTTTTCTATTTGCCAGAAATTTCCGGTGGTGATATCTTGTTCACTCAAAATCCCAGATTGTGTTACATTGACACCATCAATTGGCAAGCAATAAGTGGGCGTGGTTCTGACTCAATAGACGCGCCTGGTACAGATCCTGTATCTCCTTTTAATAGAAAATGTTAGTATTTCATTTATAGAATATTTAATTGTTTGTCCTGTATTTGCTGAGCAGTGTTAATCTATACTGATGAGATTTGACTCGTATTAAATAGCTGTTCAGATTAGTTCTAAAGTCAGTGAACTATATGTTTAAGGGTGTCATATAAATAATTAGAATCCGGTACCAGTATGAACGCAAGATGGCAATAACCCAAAATTTAAATCATCTGAGATCTATATATACCAGATGTCACTGTATTTACCATGTACATTTTTTCGTTCGAGAAGGTGCTGAATGTCCTGTAGAATGTAAAGTCAATGGAAGATCGAGATGCTGGGGAAACGATGAGAATCTCTGTCAGAGAGGTAAGTTATTATAACTATCAATTGATGGGTTGGCTGGTTCTTTTCAGTCAGGATTCCACTCTTTGGTAAAAGTACACTCGACCTGGTGGGTGATCCTTTAAGTAGTGTCTTTGTTATCTACTTAACAATTTCAAAGCAATCTTAATTATCAGTATCATTGTCTTTCCAGTCAGATTAAAGAACCGGGTCCGACTGTACATACGTCTGTAACGTTTATACTCGCTTAAGCATTCTCGTTTATATCAAATTTGATATATCAAATCAAACACCACACAGTCAGGAATTGCAATCCTCATCTGCGTATTTACCTAAATGTGTGAACTGTTTTCCAGCACCACCAAACGTTTGTCACAGCTCCTGTCCCTATCGATGTTATGGACCTGGCCCAGAAGGTTGTTGTCATGGTAACTGTGCTGGTGGTTGTTGGGGACCAAAATCTACTGAGTGTATGGTAAGTAATATATTGATTGTGATCAGATTCTATGAGACAAATAGAACAACATAATAGCCTTCAAATCAAATTATATTCAGGCGGATAGAAGCAGAAAATGCAGATTTTCCGTGTTTCCATATTATTTTTTTCATGACACTCAACTTCTGGCCAATTTCAAATCAAACTTCAAATGATTCCTTCTGCATGCTTGTTGTACTTGTTTTATATTACCCCTTCAGCATTGTTTCACACCGACGCTATTTTAAACACATCATCTTATCTGTAAGCCATGATCTCAATTGTACTGATAGATGTACTAAATAACGTGGAACTTTCTGGTTTTATTTTCAGTTGTGTAAAGATTACAGGTTGTGGAACAGATGTGTAGAAAGTTGTCCGTTAGAATACGACCATTTGAATCAAATGTGTTACATACAGAACATTTTATCATAAAGATCATTTGCATACATATTCTAAGACCCAGTGAACAAGATAATTATATTGAAACTTTAGTTTTCGGGGAAGGGAGGGTTTGATTCTCCCAAATGTACAGGCCTAGGGTGGAGCAGACACTTTATTTAGAAATTAGGATTAAGGGTCTTGATATTGGGTTTTCTTCTGTTCTTATTCTGACCTGAAATTAGAAAAAATAACTCGCCCGATGGGCGAGAAGTATAGTATTTGTTATGTACTGATTGTTTTTAGTTTACTATGAACAATATTATCATTTAAGTTCTTATTTTTTGAATATGCAACTATCATTTTCTGCTTATAGACATGGGGGAATTTCTCTTGAAGGCTCTTATAGTGGGCATGAACTATCTTGCTTGCTCGATTGCTGGTTGTATTAAACGGGACAACAAAGGGTGCTATGCCTACATTATGATGAATATTTAGTCCTATAGGTCTTGCTGTATTCAATGTCTCAATCCAATGGGCCTCCCTAGATTGACGGAATTTGGTAGTTTCATCTTCGGGCAAATCAATTTCTATACGCTCAATTGGGATTAGGGTGAGATCGTCTATTGAATGGTCGTCGAGGTTGAAATGATTAGAAACAGGCTTGTCTTTCTTTCATTTGATGTCTGACCTATGAGCATTAAAGCGAGTTCGTAAATTATTCTTAGTTTCTCCTACATATTGTTTGGGGCATTTCTTGCATGAAATTAAATATATTACATTCGAATGTTCACATGTTAGATGTTCCTGGATCGGGTACCTTTTATTCGTAGAGTTGCTTACAAAATAATGAGTTTCTGATATAAAGGGACATGTTTTGCATCTACTGGACAAACATGGAGCACTTCTTAAACCTGGAGGTACTTCGGCATAAAGTCTGTTTTTAGCTGCTATCTGTGCTAAGGTGGAATTTTTTATGTTTCGTAAAAATCGTTTAGAGTACCCACGCTCTTTCAGTTTTGAGAAAACAATCGTACAGGCTTGGTTGAAATCAGAAGATCTTGTACAAATTCGAAGAAATCGTAAAACTTGTGACTTAATTATACCAGAAAAGGTATGTTTTGGGTGAAAGGAGCTCTTGTGCAAGAGTTGATGAGTATCAGTTTCTTTGAAATACACTTTAATATCCAGTTTATTTGTTTCTGCTATGGAATCTCCCTTAAAGACTGTGGTATCGAGAAAGTCTATGCTTTTGTCACTCACGTTTGCGGTTAGTTTGATAGAAGGATGGTGGTTGTTGAGAATTTCAAAGAATTCCCAATAAAGTGGAACATGAATATTGATAGGACATACCAGCCTTATAGTATGTTAGTATTACTATACATACCAGATTGTAAAGCTTACATAAATTTGCTCAATGTGGTAAATTGCAGAACAATTTTCTATTATAATTAGTTCAATGAGTAGAACAGTAGGACGTAAAACTCTATACCATTTAAGTGTGTTGCTGATAATTCGGTGGTATATATAGAAGAAACCAGGAGTACTCATTATCACTAACAAACCAATATTAATGTAATAATTAAAATATTTAAATCAAACAGAACTTATAGTAATTACAGAGAGATCGAGCTTTATTATCTTTGACCTCCCGATCTTTCATGAAATTTAAAGTAAAGGTTTCCGGTATTTACACTTCATAAAGACATTTCATCTGTTTTCATCTAGGTTGTTTGGTGCTTAAAACAATTTCAGTTACCTGTGGTCAGAATGCAACGTCACTGTTAGGCCAATCATGTGCAGAAAAGAAAAACTCCGTTTCATTTCATATTTACACCATCAAAAATTGAAGATTTGCTAGTACAATATAACCAAGAACTCAAACTGTAATATCATCGGGTTAGGGAAGGGCGTAATGTATCGTAAGGCTCCATAAGCTCGTAAAGCTGATGAAAATGAGGTGTACCAAAACCACCATTCGACCATTAGGTACATAATTCGGCCATATTACATTTCTGTGTAATTAGAGGAATAAACGCCTTTAATTATTGAATAAATAGAATTATATTTGACATTATCAATCGTATCAAGGAAAATGGTGTTAATTTTTACACTGATTTAAAGAGAGCGTGACCATTCATCGTACTGTCTCATTTAAAATTTTCAATAAGTAATCGATGGTGCTGGCATAATATATTAATATACTCGTTTCACAAATTCATCTTTAGCTATTGAGATTTTGCAACTTCGAAAGAATATTTTTAATTCTGGGCGGATTTTTTTCCATGCACGAGTTGCATTATATCTTTGGCCATTCCATGTATATTCTTTCAATGGGGGGACGATGCGTCAGCCGAAACATGGATCACTTTCTGTCTATGAAAACTCAACCGACACTGATTTTGACTACGTTTTTGACATGACGCGAAGCCTCTCTTTAATTGTCCAGTACTCTCATCCGGTTGAATACACAAGTATCATATATTATTTCAAGATGGACATTCGACAAGATACGATGTTGTTTGTAATTCTTTTCTGTTTTGGTTTGGCGCATTCTAAAAATCCTGTATTAGAAATACCGCGAGAAAAAGGTAGGAGATTTTAACTTGATTAGACTCTTCGAAAATCTGACGTTTCAAATTCAATGAAACTTTCGCTCTGGGGTGCTCCAGAGGGGCCAATCTTCCCTAACACTAACAATATCCAGTCTTGAATACCACAATTCCGCGGGTTCAAAGATGATGGTGTTTTAGTGCTTTAAGCATTAGTAAGAAGTTTGTCATTTTCAAAACTGCAAATGTCCGTTTGGCTCCTTCCAAAGCAAGTATGTAATACAAAAACTCTATGATCCAAAAATAGTAAATACAATATACAAGTATTATCAGAGACTTTTTGTACTACATCAGAATGACCGCATGTCGTTTCTATTTCAGCCTGTTCTGGTACCAATAATGGTTTAAGTTACTCTTCATCTTTTATACGACATTTTCATAAAATACGACGTCGTTTTAAAGGATGCACCCATGTTAATGGGAACTTGGAAATCACACATTTGGTGGTCGAAAATTTCGACTATGACATGTCGTTTCTTAAAGATATACGTTACGTCTCCGGCTACGTGTTAATTGCAACCAATAATAAGATTGATAAGCTAGAACTGCCCAATTTAGAGACAATACGCGGTAATCAGACAATCAGTATCGGAGGAAGAGATTATAGCCTGGCAGTGGTGCTGAATTATAAATTTGGAGACCCAGGTATTGGTTTAAAGCAACTTCACTTTCCGGCACTTAGAGGTAAATTGTCTTTGTTTGTGGCGAGATATGTTTTAATGGTTAAAATTCTGACTATAATTGCAAACAAAATCATCGTGTTCTAGGTTCCTAGCATCTTCACAACCTATATATAGTACACACCTGTGTATAGTATGCATTTTTACATAGTACACATCAGTATGTACTATGTACCAGCATATAGTACGCACCTGTATACAGTACACACCTAAATATAGTACGCACCTGAATACAGTTCATACTTGTATACAGCACGCCAGCACTCGCCTGTATATAGTCCGCACCAGTATATAGTACAAACCAGTGTCTGGTACGCGGCTGTATATAGTACGACCAGTATATGGTACGCGCCAGTGTATATTACGCACCTGTATATAGTACCCATCAGTATATAGTACGCACCAGTATATAGTACAAACTAGTGGATAGTACGCAACAATATATATTGCATACCTGTATACAGTTATTACCTCTATACAGTACGCACCAGTTTATAGTACGCACCAGTAAAAAATGTGCTTCTGTGTATAGAACACACTTGTATATAATACGCACCAGTATATAGTACCCATCAGTGTATAGTGTGCGCCTGTGTATAGTACGTACTTGTATATAGTTTAATGCGCAAGTTTGCACCTGTATATAGTACGCACCAGATAATAGTTCGCACCAGTATATAGTATGTATCAGGATATATCACACACTTGTATAAGCTTATAGTTTAATGCGCACGTTTGCATCAGTATATATTATAGTACGCACCAGAAAATAGTTAGCAGTTGTATAATAGTACGCACCAGTATATAGTATGTATCAGAATATCACACACTTGTATATAATGCGCACCAGTATATAGTACCCTATCGTACACACTATTGTATACACCAGTATATATCGTACCCTATATTACACACTAGTGTATACACCAGTATATAGTACCCTATATTACACACTAGTGTATACACCAGTATATAGTACCCTATCGTACACACTAGTGTATACACCAGTATATAGTACCCTATATTACACACTAGTGTATACACCAGTATATAGTACCCTATAGTACACACTAGTGTATACACCAGTATATACCAGTATATAGTACCCTATAGTACACACTAGTGTATACACCAGTATATAGTACCCTATAGTACACACTAGTGTATACACCAGTATATAGTACCCTATAGTACACACTAGTGTATACACCAGTATATAGTACCCTTTAGTACACACTAGTGTATAAACCAGTATATAGTACCCTATAGTACACCCTAGTGTATACACCAGTATAATTGTACCCTATAGTACACACTAGTGTATAATTGTGCGCAACAGTATAGTAGTATATAATCTTTTTAAGACATACAGAAGCAGGAAGGTAAACATTAAGAACACAAGTTATATAACTTCTAGACTTATTACAAACTACGTTTCGAAACACTTGATAACGTTACCTGTATGTGTTTCGGAACGTAGTGTAGCCTATACACCAGTATATAGTGCGAACTAGTATATAATAGTACGCACTAGTATAGTGGACACCTGTGCATAGTACACACTAGTGTATAATTCAGTATATAGTACGTACTAGTACATAATAGTATAGTATAGTGGACACCTGTATATAGTACACACTAGCGTATTCACAATTATAGTATAGTATAGTACGCACCAGTGTATATAGTACCCTATAGTACACACTAGTGTATACACCAGTATATAGTGCGCACTAGTATATAATAGTACGCACTAGAATAGTGGACACTATAAAATGTGACTCAAGTAGATCGTTCAACTAGTTCAAAAATGCAATGCAAAACGTACTTGAATGTATTCAGCTAACTGTTCAATTAAGGAACTTTTAAAGATATGCATTTAATTTATGATGCAAATGGCACACAAATAAAGTCTAATACTACATATTCCATGCATGATAAAAGCTTGATTGTTGATTCAAAATCAGTAAAAGACACCTTCTCTTTAGGACCCATAAACATAACCTTCCAGAAAGCTAAAAATGGTCTGAATTTACATGTAACCTTTTAGTTTATGTTTACAGGTAAATTATGGCTTAAATAATTATAAAATGTTGACTCTCGAAATTGGGTGCTGGGTTAGCTAACGAATTACAGAGTGCTGTCCGCCGGGGCAGAGTCGGATTAACCTATCGGCAAACTAGACAGCTGCCTTTCGGCCCATGACAAATTTTGTACAGTAAAAATTATCAAACAGTTAATAAATTTCCGCAGGCCCATCGAAAATTGTCCTATTAGGAGCGTGATGTGTGGGAATCGACCAAATATTTTGATTCTAATGGTGATGAATGCCGATATCGTGCATACGATTGATGCTGATGAGCTGATTGATCTGTTCCTGAAAAAAAAGATCGCAAACTTCCTGCCATAAAATTGTAATAAACACCATGCCCCCTCCCTAAAATGAAAATTAAACCCTCTACCGTTCGTTTGCCTACGACCCAACAAGTCCAAAATCCGCCACTGGCTAAGGGTGATCATCCTGTCTCATAACCGTTATCAAAATTTAAATGAATCAACATTTATAATTTGTTATCATTTTTTCCAGAGATATCTATAGGGTCGATTCTGTTCAGTCAAAATCCTGGTTTATGTTTTATTCATACAATCGATTGGTCAGCAATAAGTGGGCGTGGTCCAGAGTCTATCAATATGGTAATAAGTGAAGATCAACCACCATTCAATAGAAACTGTACGTATATTTTTTTTATCGTAGTGTTATATAAAAACTATGCTACCAGTGTAGAAGATCCCAGTAACATTCACCGTTTCAATTTCACTCTGTACGATTCATCTAGAGTTCTTTCCAATTAAAGACTTTTTTTTAATTCATTCCTTTATGTAATACAAAGCATTTATAAAGCGCTTATCTAATAAAAATTACTCTAAGCGCTGAACAAAAGTTAAAGCACAATGCACACAATAAAATAGAATAATACAATACAAAAATAAAGATAGTGGACCACAGCCATATACGCCCAACACGGCATGCGGATGGTAAAAACGAAACATCCATTTTAAGTTTCATCAAAATCGGTGAAAACTAAGAGAGTAATAGCATATTCAAGATTTTGGGGCAAGGGCAAAAACTCTGCTTCTAACGGTCAAAAATAGCTCAAATTCGAACTTGATCTTCGTTTCATGAATACGTATGCACATACCGAATTTCATTTGATTCCTTCAAACACTCTAGTTTTTAGAGTGTTTACGAGCAATTGATGTTGATAGAAGCACTTGCTGTATAGAGGTTAAAGGGCGATAACTCCTCAAAACTGACGTAAGAGGCCTAAATCTTGAAAATGCCTTAAATTTAATCAGAATTAAACTAAAGTTTCTCAAACCTTTGGATTTAGGTCCGACATTCATTTTAAGTTTCATCAAAATCGGTTGAAAACCAAGAGAGTAATAGCATATTCAAGATTTTGGGGCAATAACTCTGCTTCTAACGGTTGAAATAGCTCAAATTCGAACTTGATCTTCGTTTTATGAATATGTATACACATACCGAATTTCATTTGATTCCATTAAAAAATCTAGTTTTTAGAGTGTTTACAAAAAAATGTTGACGGACGGACGGACCGACGGACCGACCGACGGACGGACAGGGGTGCCGACAATATACGTCCACATAGAGAGATGTGGGCGTATAAAAACAAGTGGATAAAGTAAAACAATTTCAAGAACGATAATTGTTACAATATATTGACACCTACTAAAAAAGAAAATAAACTAATAAATGAATAAAACGGCAATTAAAAGGGAAAACTTATCTCATGTTTATAAAAATAGTAAAGCCAAAGATAAAACCTTTAAACAAAAAATATAATCACAGTCATTAAAAGGAAAAAATTATCACGGCAATTTAAACATCACAGTACGCCAGTCTAAAAATATGAGTTTTTAAGCCTTTTTTAAAACAAGAGAGCGATTTTTCTTTACATAAATGTACTGGAAGGTCGTTCCACAGTGTAGCACCAGCACTATCAAACCGTCCTTCACCGTAAGTTTTAGTTTTTACATCATTCGGTTGTTGTATCAGACCTTCGTTAGCTGACCTAAGTAATCTACCAGGTGTATAAGGTTTGATCAGTTCTTCCAAGTACTTAGGTCCTATTCCATGCAGTGACTTAAAAACATGTCTTTTCAGTCTGTTTCATTTATCTGAGTAGATAATAATTTATACACAAGCTCTGTGATATGTATGTAATAAATCTTTCAAAGTGCTGTTGATCTTATTGATGTTGTTTTTTTTTTCAGGTGGTGAATGTGCTGTTTCGTGTGAAGTTGATAATACAACACGTTGTTGGGGAGATAATCCAACTCTTTGTCAACGAAGTAAGTTTACCGTAATCCAATATAGGTGACCCGTTATCCTTCCATGAAGTATATTGTGTCGGGTGTAGCTACTGTACAGTTCCGGTACATTCATATTTCGAGATTCCATATCACAGTCAATTATGTACATCATTGGTTCTCTACATGACATTATTAGCTTGGTTACAAATGGTGCTTGTTGGTTCTACTCTCGGATGACGTGGAATAGTACGATGATTACTATGACCTCGAATAAGTCATCTTCGCCCATAATTCCAGTCGACCCAGCAGTAAAATATTGTTTCTTTCTTTTTTTTCCCAAAGTCGTGAAGCCAGTGTCGTTTTAACAAAATAAAAAAGTTTTAAAAGAACTGCTTTCAAGGAACATCAACGAAGGTCGTCAGATCTTCCATTCCAATGAATTTATTTTGTGATTATTCCTGCACAGTCACTTTCAAACAGACAATTTTAATTAACTAATCATAATATAATTTTAGTTCTACCAAACATATGTCATTCCTCCTGTCCGTATCGTTGTTATGGACCCGGTCCAGATGGCTGTTGTCATGGTAACTGTGCTGGTGGTTGTTGGGGACCTAAAGATACAGAATGCAACGTAAGTATTATTATTTTGTGTGCACAACTAGTAGGTGAACCGTTATTTCAAAATAAGCAATCCCTCGGATATCCAGAAATTGAACGCGACTGCTTATAACAACGAAGAACTGGTTGATCAATTGATCACAAAATGAAGACAATTCCTGAAAGTTGCAAGGTCAGCGTGAGTCCCTATACCCCTAAATACTCGGAATATATAATTGTTCTTTGTAGATGTGTAAAGACTACAGATTATGGAACCAATGTGTCGGAAGTTGTCCTGTCAACTATAGTAAACTCAATCAGTACTGTTATAAATAAAACCAATAAAATAGTTTTAATATTAAATTGTAAATATTGATCTTTATACTTTTACACTTCAATTTTGTTTTTGGTTTTTTTCATGGAATGAATTGACTGTGAGCCCCCTTTGACACATCTTAACAATGTCAAACTATACGACCTTCGGCTCATAACTTGACTGTATCAGCCGCTTTTTCTTATGTCACTGTTTGTAAAAGTAAACCCTCAGCTATAATGTGTGTCTGTCGAGAGCTTCGATTGGCGGTATTTGCTTGTGTACAATTCTATCCAATCGCCGCATTCAATGAGACAATAAAGGCGGCTATTGGAGTCAAGGTTCAAGTCCAAGGGCGTAATAGCTTGACATTGTTATGATGCCCTTGACAACAATTTGGCTTTACTGACTCCTCCACCTGATGATTGATAGGTGTGCCACTGCTCCTTCAAATATGTAATAAATATGACCTTGTTATCATCAACTATTTGTGATTTATGATAACCTGATGATATACTCAGCCTGTTATAAAATACACTGACCCCTATATCTGCCAGGTTGACAGTATTCTCTGCCAGGACATTATGGATGCATTCTGAACATCAAGATATCCAGTATACCCAATCTCGTCCTAGAATTTCAGAAACAAAGTTTTTGAAAAATAATTAAAATACTACAAAATACCATTTGTAATTTTATTTATGGGATAGTATCAGATTGGATAAAACTTTCTAATAACCACAACAAAATATAAAAAAGGATTTAAAAAACAAGGCAATTGATTGAGATAATATTAAAATAATAATAGCATATTTCCACCACATGACTTAATACATTTAATATAGAGCCATCTCAACATAAAAACAAATAGTTCAAATAACGAAAATGTAAAAATATATTTTAATTATAAAAGATAATACAATTTTGAAAATTCCTAAAATACTTGATGTTTGAGACATTAAAAACAAATATTTAAACATGATGGAAAGACATATTCTATATTTCACATTTGATAAGCTTGTATTCACCTTCCCAAATGTGATGACAGGATTCCTGTAGTTCCACTAAAAAACACTTTGACATATTGAAATTTTAACCATGGCTACAAGAAGCAATAATATAACATAAGGCATTTTAACACAGTTTTCCATGTGTATTGGGGACACTAATAGCATCAATTTGCACCACTCACGTAAGAAGTCTGTGGCTTTAAAACCTTTTTGTAACTTCACTATCTGAAAGGTTCTTATATATAATTTGCAGCCTTAGTGATAGTGAATAAAAGAGTTATAGTTTTAGTGAACTCACAGACCCAAGCTACAGAATAAGCCTTGACAACACAAAAAATATCATTCAATACTCAAATAAAAGAACAAAAAATACTTTCATTACTCACAAATTTTAATAAAATAGTTTTGAAAGCCCCCAATAGAAACCAGTATGACATTTTAAAACTTTCCTTTCACCAATAACTATCTAGCATCTTCTTTCTAAGCAAGCTCTTTGGAAATTGAATAATTGTTGTATAAATGATTAAAATTAAAAGAGTTTGCGTAATGATACTGCTAGACATGTAGGTGTTGAAGTAAATAAGTGCAGATAACAGAATGGTTGCTATAGCAACTCAGTCTGATTTTGGTAAGTTTAGAATGGTTCTGGTGATTGCATTGACCACATTTAAAGATTCATCTTGTACTATCACAATATCAAAATTAGCTTTATACAATTCTAGACTTTCTTCAACCTGTAAAATAACAATTTGATTTGAATTATTATATTGTAATATTTCCATCAATAGTAAGTTGTACTTTTCTAATTTTTCAAGCATGGTACTTTCCATCTTCACAATGGTCAAAATATGAACTTATACCTTGACTACAATAGCTGCCTTTCTTGAATCACAAAGGTTTGTAAATGCAGTGATTTGATTGGATTGTACACTAGCCAATACAGCACAGCAGAGCCATCAACAGAAAGTCGGTAAACAATAATCCATAATGTCTACAGTCTTTCTGTCAATATTTTTGATTGGCTGTAATCACTGGCATACAATCTACTTGCTGTATTCCATGATACAAGCAGTGACTATTGAAGTCACGTTATAAGACAAAGTTCAAAATACCTTGACCATTGTGAAGATCCTCAGTTTAGAGTATACAGTATTAAGATATAGTAATAGGTTCTAAGCAATAATCAAGTCATGTACATACCTTATGATTTAAGAATCCTATTTTCAACTCCTGAGTAAACTCTGCTCCCTCTGCCATTCGTAAATCACCTAAAGAATCTCCTAGTAACAGTAAATTTTCTCTATGTTTTAGTCTTTGAAAATAATCCGAAGAATGAATTGCGTTTTCATTTTTATTATAGATGTGGATAATATCTCCTTTAAAACCTTGCATTTTACCCTGAAAATTAAACCCATTAGAATTATTATTGTACTTACCAGCCAGGTATGGCAAGAATTTGAACATCCACTCATGAGTACTGAGTATTCATTCACTGTATTGAATAAAATTAAAATTGTGTTCCTGTTGTAAACATATATATATCTATTATAATTTATACAATAAAATACATACATTTTTGTCAAAGTCCATATAATTGGAAACAATTTTCATGTTGTTGTACATATTGGACTGTTGCTTGATAACTTCCTCTATAATATCACCAATACCAGCAGAGAATATCAATAAAGGTATTTCTAACTTGCTGAGATGATCTATAAACCACTGACAGTTATCTCTATAATACATTACCAAATTAATTGTAGACTCTTATTAGTTTTGTAAATCAATTTTTAAATCAGATTCTTTCTAAGATCACTTATCACATTAACTTAATAGAAATTATTACAATTATTTTACAACTAAAAAGATGTTTTATGGATATAGATGTCTAAATATTGATAGAGCTCAATCAAAGTGCACATTAAAACAATCTTAATAGACTACCATTAGCGTTTAGTGCAGAATTTGAATTTTTAAGAATGACAAAGATATATGAAATTTTATCACATGAAATTAAGCAAAAAACTATTATATAATTCACATGCAAATCAGAGTCAAAAATACTAACTAGCCTAATGACAAAAGAATATAATAATATCATTCATATTTACCTATTTTAATTCATAAAAAAAAATTTCCAAAAGTTTTCATAAAATCTACCACCTCACATCTTCACAATGTCAAGCTATAACTGCCTTCAGCTTATACCTTGACTCCAATAGCCGCCTTTCTTGTATCACTGAGGTTTTAAATGCAGTGATTCAATTGGATTGTACTCTTTAAAATGCAGCCAAACAGCAAGGTATAAGCAAGGTATAGTTTGACATTATGAAGAGGACTGTCTCACAAATCAGATCTTTTGAAAATTATTGGCTCTTTTGCATTGTGTTAAACCTTGCTATTAGTTTGAATGCACCAAGTCCAATAATCACTGAACTGACTTGTATACCTGAGGCACACTGACCAATCATGAACAATGTTGGCAATGTCAGCTCTAGTCATGTGACACAGGGTGAAGAAATCGTGAGATTTTTCGTACCTGAATGATGTAATGGGAGAACTAAGGAACAAAATGTGCATTAATAAAATATAGGAAGTGAGGAAAGCAGACGGAAACTCTTAAACATTTTTTGAATTGCATCAATGTCACTTGTTTAATGGACAATCTTCAGAAGGACTAGAAATGTACAAAATTCACATAAATCTTTCAAAAATACCACAAACTTGGATTTAACCTTCTTTTTCTATAGATGTCTTTTCCATATATGGGATAGTCTCAAGAAAAGATAAGTCATTTTTTTAACTTTTAAATGCAGATCATTTTATACCCGACACACAGGAATTTGAAGGCTCAAATTGTGAAGGTGAGCTGTGAACACTATTAATGATTGGTACCTGTTTCTGAGACTAACGTAAAATTGGTCAAAAAATGATGCATCTGTCCCTTTAAGTGATGAATATTTTAAGAGTTACTGCCAAAAAGAAAATGAAACAGGATGTATATTAGGGGTTAGTACACATATTATACTTTCAACCATAATATGTGAATAAATTCAAGGAGGTACAGATTATTTCTATCAATCTATTTTTGATACATATACAACATAAAAGCTAATACATGTACTGCCTATTGATCATTCTTTCTTTATGATCACTAATACAAAAAAACACTTAAATGTGATTTGCCTTCTTATCTAAGTAGTATGAGATGTTATTCATGCATACTAAGAATCAAATATCTGATCAAACGAAATTACTTTAGCCTGCATTTCAAATTTTAAAGTTTTTAATTGCGAATTTTACTTTCATTAAAAACCATTTGAATCTTAAGATCCCTTTCTTTTATTTGGAAGGATTAACGTTTAAGAGGGCTGTCGTTAGACCCTTACTGAAGTGGCTATAATACAAATAAAGCTTATAAAAATAAAACGAAACAATAGTATTTGTTGAAAAATTTATAACTTTAAAGGTAATAATCTATATTCATCCAGCTTTAAATAAATATTTAGGTCAGCTTAACATGACTAAACAGGAAGTAAAAAGAGCAATGATATTTATAGGCTGATATAAATAAGGTTTAAATAACAAATAATAACTTGTACCAACTTGAAATTATTTCATATATGTTAAGAATTTACCTGAGCTGAGCACTCGATTCTTGAACCATTTCTGTTACATCTGTTTGTGTCATATGAACTGATTTTATAAGAGCATGAGCATTGGTCCACCTTGATGAGATTATAGCAAAACATTATAATTTAGGTAATAGGCGTGGAAAAAACTTGGAGAGTTTCATCATGGACAGACAATATTATTTGATGCAAGCAAAGGTAGGACAATATTTTACCTTAACAGCTGTTTCCAGACATATCATCTGCTTTTATTGAAAAGTGAAGATGTATGTCAGTCTTGTTTCCTTAATCAGGGAGGACCCAGAATTACATCCGGCTTTCTCTTGCCTTGAATGTCATTCAAATCCATGAATTCCTTTATATCAGACAGTTGTGATCTCAAATGATTGGGGTAGACAGAGCTAGTCAACTGTTTAAACCAAAAGCTACAAAGTTCTGCTTTTGTGTCTAGTTTAAAGGAACAGATGCACCATTTAGGGGGTTGATGTGAGTCTTGAATATGTGTAAATAGTCACACAATTCCTTCAAAAATATCCCAAAAGGTTTCTTTTTTTATTTCTATAAATGGCAGTGTCTCAAAAAAGACACATGATATGAAGTCTCAACTTTTGATGGTGAGCTTTGAACACTATTACTGTTGGGCTTAGCTAAAAAAAATATACATCTGTTTCTCTCAGCCAGGTTACAATCCTGCACACAATATTAAATAAACGACAAGATATTTCAACCTATTGCATATAAATTCCTGGAAAACATTCAAATTCTCTTTTTCACTGCTTTATATGTGATTGATGGTGCCAAAATAATGTAACAAAGATTTCAAATCACTACATTAATGTGATGTCACCATCAAAATCACTCCATAATATTGTGCAAAAAAAAAAACCTCACTTACCATTCAATCATCTTGGGGATTTTTTCATCAATAGTTAAACTGTGGTCTATTTCTATAGGAAAATATTTGTCTCTATATGCCTTTGCCTAAATTGGTACAAAATACTTTCTGATAACTTTCTAACTTCTTGGAAAAATCAAATCTTACTGCCAACAGTTTATCTTTATCCAGTTTAACCATTTGCAGGATATAATATTTATATCTGGTGTAAACGTATATTCCCAATAAAAAATGATGCATGGGTCAGTGCTGAGTCTTTATATTATAAAAGTCACTTGCGTTCAGATATGGTCTTTAAAGAAATGGTAAGTTTTGAGTATTTTAAGATCATTGAGCAACTTTTTATTTCTAGAAAAAAGTTAAAACTACCTTTTCTTTGTAAGAATCTGGCATCACTTTACTCTCTTCCATTACATCTAAAACAAATATAACATTCATTGTATAGCAATAGTACAACAACATTTTAACAGTAACTTACAACTCTATTATCTTTAGTTGAAGATCTTTGTCCAGAAGATTTATTGATGCATTCTAAATTATAGTGATCAAATTCTGAGGTCTATATTACAAAAAAATATTGTATACATGTCAAAAAGGCTTACATGATTTGTTCGCTGATCTAAGTAAGCAAAACAACAGCCAACCAATCAAGATAGTCAAATCTTATTTGAATTTTGACAAAGCAATATCACATTGAACTATTTTTACTAAGTGTTACTAAACTATTATTAGCCATTGTCGGGCCTGTTAAATCATATTAAACATATAAACATATAAGAACTTACTGTGACATGTTGAACAAATCTTTCCTTTATTGGAATATTTTGATAATGTTCTATCAAAATCAGCTACAACCTACATAAAACATTCAGTTTTAATATTTTCATCAATTTGTTAAGTGTTTAATCAGAGGTTGAGGTTCCTACCAAGATAAATGATATAGTAAAAAAATGAAAACCAAACAAACACTTATAAGTATTTTCAAATAAGATATTTGTGCACATTCAGGAACATTCCAAAACCTTAGCACATTTCTATTTTTTTTTTAACTACATAACAAACTACCCATTCATGTTAATGGTTTGAATCTGACCCTGATATGTATATTGTGGACTTTGGTTAACAATTTGAAACTTCCTCTTACAGATTTCAACTTGAAAAGACTAATTTCAAGATTTCCAGAAATAACAATTGTTAATCATTGACAAGAGAATGTATATTACCTGGAGTTTCTCATGCCCATCTTGAACCATTTGTTTAATTATCTTATCAACATACTGAGGATCTTTCATGTGAACATGGCTACTGTTTAATTCTTCAACCTGAACAGAAAAGAAATTTATAATACAATATCATTTAAACAAACCTAATTCCCTTCACCATATTTCTATTCATCTAAGAGCTGTAAAAAAATAACTAAAAATTAAAATTGTTCTGGAAAAAACTTCTTAGCTCAGATATAGAAGTAATAAGACTAACTAATTAAAATCTGATATTTCAAATACCAATATTCAAAATAATTTCAAGAAATGCTTTCATAAAAATGACAATTCAAATACATACAAATATAGAAAGTTGGGAGACCTAAAACTACTGACTATATCTGTTTTAGTCATTCTTATTTCTTTGCTGTAAACTTGTTAAAGTTCAGACTTTAAGACAGACCAGGTAAAGAGTAAGACTGAACACTGTGCAAACAACTGGTAAAGTGAAAGTAAAAGTAAGTTGCTATGTTTTATATAGAAGATATAATATTTATGTATGTTAGGTAACTAATGGTAATACTAACTACTTAACCATGAACTTAATTAACCTTACCTAATTATCAATTCTAGTTGATCTAAATTGTCAACTGTACAATTAATACTAATACTAGTTAATATGGTTGTAGAAACCAGTCTTTTTTGATTGGACATTCAATTATTGGAATGATCTGCTTTTGTTAATCTTTTTTTCAACAATATGTATTCATAAATTACAAATAACAAATTACATATATAATATATGCTATGGTTTCAGAAACATACTCAACTGCTTAACTCTGTTAATAATTTTATTCTGATTTATTGGTACAAAATATTTCACCCCCTATCACCTACCAGTAACAAATCTTTCCTTATCATTTCAACCAACAAGGCTGACAGAGATAAATTCTAAGATGTTTGCTGCGTACCAGCTAGTAAGAAGGAAGCCATGAATCTTAGTCTTTATCCTTGTGAATAGTTGTTATTTTTTTTATTCCTTTTCTTAACCAAGACTTGTTAGATAGTAATTGTATCTCCCACACATTGTGTTTATTTACTGACATCCGTTATTTCTGAATCAAGTTATAATTTGGTTATTAGGCTTACATAGCTGAACTATAAAAAAAAATATGTGGTCAAAGATCATCTTTATTTCCTTATTAATTATAGTTATACAGTGTTAGTGTTTCACCACGTTCCAATCACCCAACCTAAAACAAAATTCATAAATTCATCAAGAGCTCTATGATCCCATTGGACAACATCTCTATTGTTAGGAAAGTTATACTTATCATAATTAAGATAGGTGATACTGGGAAGTGATGAATAACCACCCATTTTTTGTCAATATATGGAATAATCATTTAACATATGTTGAGTTGAACAAGTAGTAGACTTTATGTAGTAACAATAACCTTATAAGCTTTCACATTCTAGATTTACGTACTAACGCTGATGTTATCATGGACGATATGTGATACAGTCAAGTAACCTAATTTCATGGAAACCTATTATTTGTGGATTTCCGCAAAGGATTAATAATTTACATGAGCGACCTTGCGCGACCTCCACATTAGTTTGTTTTGATAAACATGGGTTTTCTCTACAATGTCAGCTAGTAGAATGAATCCAGTATTTTCAAGCAGTGTAAAATGTATTAATGTATACTTTGACAAATACAAAATGGCGGATTTCACTTATTACCAAACGTCACCATTTTTTATCCGCCGAATTTCCTTATAATCCCAAGCAGTAATCGGAATTCCAAGTGTCGTCTGCTAGAATGTAATCCAACAAATGAAGTCAAGTTCTGTGTTAGTAGAAAATTTCTATGGAACACAAAGTGGACCATATTCTTATGTTATTTCAGTGACTTTTAGCAATAAATCACGCTACGTATCTTATTTTGTCAGTCACTATTTTTTTTTTAAATCGTGGTTCTTTCAAGGAATTGTCACTAGTTATAATGAATTGATATTAAAGATAAATACTAAGAGAAGTTAATTATACCACCCGGTATCCATACAACGTATTTTTCTAGACTTATTTATAGATCAAACATTGTACATGAAAATAGGTGACGCATTCTGCCGCCGTTGACGAGTTGGTTGCTCATGAAATATGGGTCAAAGTGAAGGATTAATAAAGAAAATCGAAACAAACCAATTCTTATTATTTTGTAGAATATCTGAGGAAACATTTAAGACATAAAAGATTTTTTTCGTTTTTTTAACTTTGACGAAATTCGGTGTTGAATCCTTAAATCCACGAAAATAGGTTACACCACTGTACTCTTGATGAATTACTGAAAAAAGTACTCCCAAGCAATAAAATTTTGACAGAAAATGCTATTTACAAAAGACATTATCGGTGTTTAAAGCCCTTTCCGTTGTGAACTGGTTGAAATATTTGTTGGACAAACACTTGAGTACAATATTTACTAGGATTTAGTAAAGAGTTTGTGGAATTTCTCCTTCTTGAAGTAAAGCAATGTTTACAATTTCAGACTCTTTTCACACTTCACGTTAGAGAGTTTAGCAGGGGAGGTAAGTAGTTAAAAAATGGATTTAAAAAATATAAGACGAAACTTTTGATTATATTGATTCAGAGAATATCTTATTTATACACATATTCAATTATTACTGCTGTTGACTTTTCCATAAATTGCATTTTCTGCTTTCACTCATAATCACATTCAGTTTAATACTCTTTATTTTCCGTTTATGATTAAAATAACAGAAACAATTTGTACGAACCAGCAGCCATTACTTGTTTATTTACATTTTTATCAAAATAAAGAAGCATCATTATTATGTGTCTTGTTTTAATCTTTATGACTACGATTAGCGTCAAGGTCTAGTACACCTAAACGGTACGTTGTTCCTTATTTTGATCTTTATTTCTCTTCATACAATGAGTGACTGATAAAATGCAATGCCAATTTCTTGAGTAACTGACAGTGACAAGACTGACAAAAAATGTCTGTTATAGACTTATGGATCTGATTAGGAAATATACAGTGGTGTAACCTATTTTTGTGCATATAAGGATTCAACATTGAATTTAGTCAAAGTTAAAAAACAGAATTTTTTTTTTGATGTCTTAGATGTTTCCTCAGATATTTTACAAAATAAATAAAATTGGTTTGTTTCGATTTTCTGAATGAATCCCTCACTTTGATCCATATTTCATAAGTAACCAACTCGACAATGGCGGCAAAATGCGTAACCTATTTTCGTGTACAATGTTTGATCTATTAATGAGTCGAGAAAAACACGTTGTTATACCAGGTGGTATAATTAACTTCTATGTTAACGGCCACTGAAGTATATATAGTAAAATGTAGCACATGTCAAAATCTTGAACTTTGAGTACCGTACCTAATTTTTAATCAGTTTCTCTGAAAAATCAAAG